CATTCTGTTTGAGTATTACCGTGGCTTCACGCTCTTCCAGGTAGGATTCTTGTTCCCTGAGAGCCCTTTGTGTCCAGAAGGGCTCAGAATTAGGTGAAGGGGAGGGAAACACAGATCAAGCACTGAAAATGAGAAGCTGAGTGGGAAAATGAGGCCTGGAAAGGTCTGGTTTGAGGAGTGCCTTGCTGGAAGGACAGAGTTGGGATCATTTCTGTGTTTAGGTTATGTCTGTTCTCTGAAGAAAGGGAAAAGCAAAACGTGAAAAGTTGGATAGGACCTGGTGGAATCCTTTCTCCCTGTCCCCGCAGAGGTGACAAACCTTTTGTCACCAGCTCCCCAAGCTCTGACTGACCCACCACTGCTGTGCTCCTTTGCAGACCCATGAGAACCGAGAGCACCTTGTGATGATGGAGAAGATCCTGGGGCCGCTCCCATCCCACATGGTCCACAAAACTCGGTAAGAGCCTGGTCCTGAGCTCAGCCAGGCACCACCACCTGCAGGGAGGGAGAGTTCCTGCCTGACCCCCCTTCCCCATGCAGGAAGCAGAAATACTTCCACAATGGCAGCCTGGTGTGGGATGAGAACACGTCCGACGGCAGATACGTCCAGGAGAACTGCAAACCCCTGCGGGTGGGTGCTGCTCCCCTCCCTCCCTGGGGCAGGGCTGGAGCTCAGGGCTGCAATTCCCTTTGGGACTGCTTGGTAGGGAGCCCCAGCTCCCATCTGCAGGGAGCCTGCTCTGGATAGGGCAGGATGGGGATTAGGGAAAGGGGAATGATGTGGTTGGGGTGGGAGGCTGCCCTGGCCCAGGGCTCCTGAGTCCCTGTGGGCATCAGGGCAGTGTTTGCTGTATTTGGGATGGGATGCTGTATTTGGGATGGGGATGCTGTATTTGGGATGGGAAGCTGCCTTGGGGGATGCTGTATTTGGGATGGGAAGCTGCCCTGGGGGATGCTGGATTTGGGGTGGGAGGCAGCCCTAGTCCAGGGTTCCTGAGTCCCTGTGGGTATCAGGGCAGTGGGGGATGCTGTATTTGGGATGGGAGGCAGTCCTGGGAAATGCTGTATTTGAGGTGGGAGGCAGCCCTGGGGGATGCTATATTTGGGATGGGATGCTGTATTTAGGATGGGATGCTGCCCTGGGGGAGGCTGTATTTGGGATGGGAGGCAGTCCTGGGGAATGCTGTATTTGGGATGGGGTGCTGTATTTAGGATGGGGTGCTGTATTTAGGGTGGGGTGCTGTATTTGGGATGGGGTGCTGTATTTGGGGTGGGAGGCTGTATTTGGGGTGGGAGGCTGTATTTGGGATGGGAGGCAGTCCTGGGGAATGCTGTATTTGGGATGGGGTGCTGTATTTGGGATGGGGTGCTATATTTGGGATGAGGTGCTATATTTGGGATGGGGTGCTGTATTTGGGATGGGGTGCTATATTTAGGATGAGGTGCTGTATTTAGGATGAGGTGCTGTATTTGGGATGGGGTGCTGTATTTGGGATGGGGTGCTATATTTAGAATGAGGTGCTATATTTGGGATGGGGTGCTGTATTTGGGATGGGGTGCTGTATTTGGGATGGGGTGCTATATTTAGGATGAGGTGCTATATTTGGGATGGGGTGCTGTATTTGGGATGGGGTGCTGTATTTGGGATGGGGTGCTATATTTAGAATGAGGTGCTATATTTGGGATGGGGTGCTGTATTTGGGATGGGGTGCTGTATTTGGGATGGGGTGCTATATTTAGGATGAGGTGCTATATTTGGGATGGGGTGCTGTATTTGGGATGGGGTGCTGTATTTGGGATGGGGTGCTATATTTGGGATGGGAAGTTGCCCTGCCCAGGCAGGGGCTGAGCTGTGTCCCTGTCCCTTTCAGACCTACATGCTGCACGACTCCCTGGAGCACGCTCAGCTCTTTGACCTGATGAGGAGGATGCTGGAATTCGACCCCTCGCAGAGGATCACGTTCTCCGAGGCCCTCCTGCACCCTTTCTTTGCCGGGCTCTCGGCAGAGGAGCGGATGCTGTGCGGGCGCGGCGCCAGCCGGGACCTGAGCAGATGACGGCCGGGATCCTTCAGGGTGGATCCCTTGGGGTGGATCCTACAAGATGGAGCCCATGGGATGGACCCCACAAGATGGAGCCCACCGGCCTCTGCAGTTCAGCCCCACTCCCCTCCCCGAGTCCGCAGGGGCTGGGGCACTGCCAGAAGGACGGACTCTGGGAGGAGAGGGGGAAGGAAAGCTCTGTTGGAAAGCACAGATTTGTCTATTTATATGTTGTAAAGTTAAAATAAAGTGTTTCTTATTGTTTGATACTTCCCTTGTAGGTGGGTGTGGGGTTGTGTTGCCTCTTGTGCAAAGGAAGAGGGAGATGATGAAAAAGCACCTGGGATCAGTGAGGGGGAGTGGCCTGGTGTCTGCCCTGGCAGCAGAAGGTTCTAGAAGGAGAGCAGACAAATAAACAGCTGCACACAATAGCACACATGAAGAGTTGCACTTTATTTCAGGGCATGATCCCCCGCAGTGGCAGGAATTGGTCGTTACAAACATCAGGTCACAAATGGGGTCACCAAGCAGTGCCACGGCGCAGTGATCGTCACCTGTCACCAGAGCGGGCCCAGAGCAGCACCAGGGGCAGCTGCTGGGGCTGGGAACCATCCCAAACACAGCTACAACACTGCTCCCTCTTGGAATTAACCCTGGCACCGTGGGGGATGGTGATGGGGACACCCAGAGCTGTGCTGGGACTCTGAGTGCTCCAGAAGAGCTGGTACCTCACATTCCAGATGTGTGAAGCCAAGAAACAGCTGCAGTGAGGGGAAGTACAGCCAAATACCCAAATCTGGCAGGCAGGGAGCACACCCCACATTCCCTACAGCAGGGGCTGAACCCCCCGGTTGTGCAACACTGTTCACTTCATTTTTATATTCAACAAGGGGAAGCATTTCAAGGCTGGCAAGAACCAGGGCCTTGGTGCTTCCCGGAGCTCCATCCCTGCAAAACCACCAGCACCTGCCCCAGTGCCTTCCAGCAGGGCAGCTGCACCCTGGACTAGCCCTGCCCTGCCCCTGCTCCGTGTGTACAAGCTACAGTTCAACAGCCAAACCCAGAAAGGGCAGGAAAAACCTGCAGAAAGCAGAAATTGAAACAGCAAGTCTCCTACTGAGTGTCTTGAGCAAAGAGAGTGAAAGGAAGGGGACTAAAGCTAACACTGACTACAGCAACAACCTTTATTTAACCTGCTGCTGCTCCTGGCTGAAGATCCAAGGAAACAGCCAGAAAAACCAAAAAAGGCAGAGGGAAACCTTGTGTCTGTGCTGTGAGTACCCAGCACACTGCTGTCCTGGCCCAGTCAGAAGCACAGCCTGGTGGGTGCTGAGGCGTGGGGCACCCCTGTGCCCAGGATGGAGGGCAGAGCCCCCCAGGCCAGCAGTGCCCCAGAGCAGCTGAGGGGAACCAGGGCTGCCCAGCCAGGGCACAGCCCCTGGTCCTGCTGAGGTAGATATGGCAACGTGCAGGGGCCAGACCTCGGGGGGAGCCAAGGCTCAGCAGCCTCCTGGGCCCTCCACACTCCCAGGCCAGACCCTGTAATCGCTTCTTTCCAAGCAGGGAAAGCTCTTCCCTCCTGCTCTGGCAGCCCTGGCTGGGTTCTAACAGAGGAAAGGACAGAGGAGTGCCTGACTAAAGCCCCAGCTTGGGGCTGGTCAGTGGGACTGGACCACACTGGGCTGGTCCCACTCTGGGCTGGTCCCACTCTGGGCTGGGCCCTGTGCTTCAGCCTCCCAAGGGATCCAGCTCCCCTGGACAGAGGCAGCACCCAGAGCTCTCCCTGGTGCCAGAGCAGGGCTGGGTGAGCTGGAGGAGCCCTGGGGATGGGTGAAGTGTGAGAGGAGCAGCAGAGCTCCAGCACTGCCCGCGTTCCCAGCTCCCTGGTTTGGCTCTGGGGGCACACAGCTGATTGCCAAAGCCAGTGAGCTGGTGACTCCTCAGTTCCTCCCTGCTCCCGGCACTGCACCCAGGACAATACAAGGAACAAGGAACACAGGAAAGGATAACTCAACGTTTCTGGCTAGGCATGGGACAGACAGCAGAGCAGATTTCTGATGGGAATCCCACCCAGGAGCACAGCAGCTCCCAGCACACCCTCTCCTGCCAGCAGACAGGAGCCAAACCCCTCCTCAGGCCAAGCCCACCCCACACACAGGCTTTGATTCCAAGGGGAATGAACAGATCCATGAGCTACCTCCCAAACCATCCCAAAGGTAGCAGGGATGCTGAAAGGACAGGGGAGCTTACCCTGAACCTCACCTGCAGCACCCAACAACCCCAGAACAGCCCTGCCCTGCCCTGCTCCACTCCCCCAGCCCTGGAGCAGCCACTTGCTGGGCCAGCAAGGAGAAAGAACCAAAGAAAACAACCCCAAACCCCACGAGGATGCTGGAAAAGTTCTTTTCCATACCAGGCCTCCACCCCACAGAGCTGGGCTTCGGCCATGAAGCAAACAAAGAGAAGCCAACAGTACAGAAGCAGTAAGGCCGAGCTGAGGAAGGACATCAGTGCTCCCACAGCATGTGGGAGCCTCTGGCTCTCCAAAGCTCTCCAAACAGGGAAAAGCCCTCTCTGTGAGGGGCTGGACAGGCTGGGAAGGAGAGGGAGCTACAACTGCCTTCCAGGACACCAAACAGTGATGGGGCAGTCAGAACCAACATGGGAACCAAACGAGATTTTCCCTCGACACAAGGGATTTGTACACAATCAAGGGGCGCTGTTCCCACCAGGATGTCCTTGCTGGCAATAGTCAACCAGAAGGACCTGAAACACATCTCCAAGCTCCAAACCAGCCTTATTTGTACCATGTGCCAGCCAGGGCTGGGCAGCAGCAGGGGACAGCCACCATGGTCCTGCACACTCCTTCATCCCACAGCAGGAAACAATGAAAACAGCTTTGCAGGAACAATTCACTTCCTTCTCCTCCTCCTTTTTTTTTTTTTTTTTTGTTTGTTGGGGTTTTTTTTTCATTTCATTTTATGATTATTCCATTTTCTTCTTTTTAAACACACAGCATTTCTTCCAGAAGGCAAACCCCTCCAGAACTTCACATCCTTTTTTTTTTTTTTTTTTTGTGTCTGTTTTCTTTAAGGCGTCACCAGAGTCGACCAGCCGGGATCCAGCTCAGCACAGCTTGGCTTTCACAGAGCTCCTCCTCTCTCCCTTCACAGCCAGGGGGGCTGCATGAGCTCTAAGTGGAGTGCAGGGGGATGACAAATTTGCAGCCAAAGGGGGAGTGGTAGTTGATGCCCACCTCCTGGAAGACCTTCTGGGGAATGCCAATGTCACAGAGGTAGACGCGGCCGGCGCGCTCGCCCAGCGGCAGCGGCAGCCCCAGCGCCAGCGACCACTTGGCATCGATGCCCAGCTCCATCTCGCTGATGGGGGGGTCTATGCTCAGCACGGGGGCACGGTTCTGGTTGGCCCAGTCCACCACTGCTTTGTACCAAGGCTGGTCTCTCAGAAAGGCATTCTCGTGACAATCCAGGCAGTTGATCACTAAGTCAACCGGGGTGTCTGGGAGGTCTGCAAGAAACACGGACACGGCTGAGAATCGGCGGCACCGGCTGCAGGTTTGGGGTTTGGCTTCCACTCTTGCTGCACAGCCTGGCCTCACCTGCTGGTACTGCCATCCTTCCCCCACAGACCCATCCTGAACAGCTCTCCAGCGCTCTGGGGACACCCCCAGCCTGGCAGGTACAATACCCAATGACCAGCTCGTGAGCAGCCTCAGTGTCACTGACCCACAGGGCAGGCAGCCCAGGGGAGCAGTGGGGCTCTCTGCCCATCAGGAAGGATCTTTTTCTATTCCACAAGGTGAAAATAAGGCTGATTTTTGGAACACACCAGCTGTGCTGCAGTGCTGCCTGTCCCACTGAGCTCTGTCACACTCCCTTGCTCCATTTCCCTCAGCTCCTGCATTCTCCACATCTGCTGCATTCCCTCACTTGTGCTGCACCACTCCTGCTGCATTCCCTTCATCTGCTTTGCATCCCCCTCCCCTGATGGATCACAAAGTCCTTCGTGCAAAACCATGGAATGGTTTGGGTTGGAATAAACCTCAGAGTTCATCTCACCCCACCCCCTGCCATGGGCAGGGACCTTCCACTATCCCAGGGTGCTTCAAGCCCCATCCAGCCTGGCTTTGGACACTTCCAGGGATCCAGGAGCAGCCACAGCTGCTCTGAAAAATCTGTTCCAATCTTTTACAATATTTTCACACAGGCAAGTAGCTCTGTCAGCACAGCACAGCCTAACTCCCAGCTTTGTTTCTCCCCAGAAGCTCAAATGAAGCAGCTTGGAAAAGGACTGGTGAAGTGCCAGGCAGCAGCCAGCAGTCTCCCAGGAGCTGTTTGTTCTAGGGAATACCCAGATGGGAATCCTGACAGCAGAGCTGGCTCCTGCTTTGCAGCAGCAGCTGGACACTCATTCCCTCCCAGCTCCAACATGCTGAACAAGGCAGCCCCTCATGCTGCCAGCACAGCTCCATCCAGCAGCTCTTCCTCATCTCTTCCCACCGGAAACATCTGTGGCAGCACAAGCGCTGCTCTGTCGAGGCTCTGAGTGCTGCTGTCCCTGCAGCCTCTGGGCAGCCACCCAGGCCTGGCAGTGCCACTAGGTGGTGCCAGGGCAGCGGGCAGGAGCCAGCTCTGCTCCCTGGAGAAGCTAGCCCTGCTCCCCCTGAAGGAGCTGGCCCCAGAGAAGCCGGCCCTGCTCCCTCAGAAGGCAGTCCTAGAGAAGCCTGCCCTGCTCCCTCTCTGGAGAAACCAGCCCTAGAGAAGCCAGCCTTGCTCTCCCCCTGCAGGAGCCAGCCCTGGGGATGCTGGCTCTGCTTCCCCACGAGGAGCCAGCCCTGGAGAAGCCGGCCCTGCTCTCCCTAGAGAAGGAAGCCCTGGAGAAGCCAGCCTTGCTCTCCCCCTGGAGAAGCCAGCCCTGCTCCCCCACGAGAAGCCAGCCCTGAAAAAGCTGGCCCTGCTCTCCCTGGAGAATCCAGCCCTGGAGAAGCCAGGTTTGCTCTCCCTGGAGAATCCAGCCCTGCAGAAGCCAGGTTTGCTCTCCCAGGAGAAGCCAGCCCTGGAGTGCCCACTGACCTTTGACACTGGAGACCTGCTGTCCCTGTGTCTTGCTGAAGAGGTTGAGCTCGTTGGTGATGGACTCGAGCATCTTGACGAAGTTGGGGAGGAAGAGGATGACGTGGACGTCGTGGTTGGAGAGGTGCCGCCCGCAGCTGATGCCCTGCGCGCCCTTCACGTGGGGGCCGCAGAGCAGCGCCACCGTGGGCCGCTGGTGCACGTTCTTGGGGTTCAGTCTGAAACACAGGCAAGAAAAAGGGACTGTCAGCAAACCCCAGGGCCTCTTACCTCCTTCCTGCATGAGAAAAAAAAATATTTAAAAAAAAACCACCCAGCAAGATGCAAATTGCCAGGTGTTCTGCAAATCCAGAACAGCCCACATCCTTTTGTGGTGCTGACGCTGCTCTGCCTGCAGGTTCAGAGAAGCTCACACTTGTTTGGGTGGGAGGGACCCTAAAGGTCATCCTTGAGGGCAGGGACACCTTCCACTAGCCCAGGCTGCTCCAAGTTCTGTCCAACCTGGCTTTGGACACTCCCAGGGATGGGGCAGCCACAGCTGTGCCAGGAGCTCAGCACCCTCACACGGAAGAATTTATTCCACATATTGAACCTAAATTTCCCCTCTTAAAGTTCCTGATAAACCCTCTTTGGCTTTCTTATACACCCCTTCAGATACTTCGAGATTGTTCCAGCCTTCTCCTCCCCTTCCTGCGCCCACACAAGGTCCCAAGGATTGTAGAAGAAAGCTAAAAATTTAAGGTGAATTTCCCCATCAGAGGAGTCACATTAAAACAGAAAAATGATCTCTACTCTCTAAGCTTCATTAATTGCACAATAAAGTTAATTTGGCCTGGAAGGCATCAGGGCTTGCAGCAGGAATTTCAGCTGCCTGTGTGCCATCACTCAGTGCTCTCCATCAAGTGAGCAGGTGCTGGTAAAGAGCTCCTGAGTAAGTGAGCAGGTGCTAATAAAGAGTTCCTGAAAAAGTGAGTAGGTGCTGCTAAAGCACTCCTGAATAAGTGAGCAGATCCTGCTAAAGAGTTTCTGAAAAAGTGAGCAGATCCTGCTAAAGCACTCCTGAATAAGTGATCAGGTGATAATAAAGAGCTCCTGAATAAGTGAGCAGGTCCTGCTAAAGCACTCCTGAATAAGCACATGGAGACTGAAGGGTTACTTTTCTTTTTGAGAGCAAATAATCTGGAGCAGCTATCAACAGCACAGAAACACAGGTGCAGTTCCTGCCCACAGCAACAGCCACGGAAGCAGAGCTCTTCAGGAGTCAGCAAAAGGCACTGAGTGCACTCCAAAGCTGCTGCAAAGGGCAGGATGTGCTCAGGTGAGCTGCAGATGCCTGAAAAGCTGAGCTAGCCTCACAAAAATCCACGCAGCGCTGTTTTCACGGGCTGCCTTCTGCTTTTATTGACACTGTGAAATTGCAGTGTGCCACATCAGCAAAGGGAAGGTTCCTTTCTGTGCAGAAAGGAGCTCCTCACACATTCTGCACGGCTCCATCCACCTCAGGCAGCACCTGTGCAAAGCTCAGCTCCCCAGACGACTCCCAGCGAGGGGGAAGGAAAACCTCAGCTGAGCTTTGTGTGTGATTTAAGAGCTGAGAGGGCCCTGCCAGCCCCTTCCCTCCCCCCAGAGGCCCCAGCTGTACCTGTTGGGCCCCCCCAGGAGGCTCAGGGCCATCTGGCTGGCACACACCCCTGTCATCTCCAGCCTCCTCTCCAGGGTCAGCCCGTGCTTCTCGGCCACCGCCAGCAGCTTCTTGTGCAGCTCGTAGGACACGCTGGGCACCACCAGCCCCGAGTCTGGGGGCCACAAACAGGGGAGGGAGGGACAAATGGGGACAGTCAGACACTCAAAATAGTGAAAAGGTTCATCCTTAACTGTTAACTGTTCACCCACGTTCCTTCCCAAGCCACCAAATTAATCCAAATTATTCTCAGTGAAGCAGAAACAGCTAAACATAAGTGCTGGCTTAAAATAACACTTCCACAAAAGTTCTGTGGGAAATTTTAGTAACACGAGGGCTGAGAAGGCCTCTGGGACTCACAGATGGAATATTAAGGCTTTTCTTCATGATGAGCTAAAACCCACCATAAAGTGCTCCTGAGCACTGTGAAAGTCAGAAGAGCAGCTGTGAAGTGCCAAAAAAAGCCTGGATGTTTTATGCTTCCTGACACTGGTCCCCAAAATCCCAAGATCCCAGCAAAACAACCATCCCACATTTGGTAGGTGTTCCCATGCCAGAAGGGTGCTCCAGACCCATCACAGCACACAGAGCCAGCAGGGAAATGCTCAAGGGATAAACTGTGCAGAAAAACACCTCCAGGTGTTCAGGGGAGCCTGGGCTAGCGAGCTGGGAAATGCTCCAGCATTTGGATCAAGAGAAAAGAAACAAGAGAGGTTTTGTGAAGTGCTGAGAACTGTCCAGCCTGGCCTTGGAGACTTCCAGGGGCAGTCACAGCTCCTCTGGACAACCTGTGCCATCTCCTCATGGGATGTTCACAGAGCAGCTCTCAGCTGCTCCTCCTCCCAGGAATGCCAGCTGAGTGCAGCTCCCACTGTGAGACAGGCACAGGAGCTGCACCATGGAGCAAAAAGGCTGAGGACTGAATCAGTGCCTGCTAGAGGAAACATGAGGTCAAAAAGTGTGAGCTGAGCCCCACCATCAGCATCTCTCCTCTCAGCTTTCCCAGGGTCACCCTCAGGCTCCCCCTGGCCCCTCTGCTCTGGGGGTGACAGTGGCCCCCTGGGTGCTCCTGGTAGCCCAGCAGGGCTGGGGCTGCCTGTGCTGCTGGGAGGAGCTGTGGGAATGTGACAGAGCTGCTGGAAACACCCTGAGGGGCACAGGGACCCTGCTGAGCCCTCCTGGAGCTCATCCCTGGCCTCAGCAGCCAGGCCTCGCACACAGAGAGGGCTCCACGTGTGCCAGCACTGCCCCAGAGGTCACCTGGCTGCCAGGCCAGGCCAGCAGGCTGTTATCAGCCATGCCTGAGTGCTGATAAGAGCCTGAGCCCTGCAGGAACAGCCCCAGGGCTGTGCCAGCAGCCACGACCTGCCCTGTGCCCGTAGCGGTCATGGTCACCCACTTGTCCTGTGCCACTCACCTGCCCCGTGGGTCACTCACCTGCCCTGTGCCCACAGTGGTCACCACCTGTCCCATGGGTCACCCACCTGCCCCATGCCCACAGAGGGGGGAGCTTTTAGGTATTTTTAGGTCACCCTAGGGCTTTTAGGTCACCCACCTGCCCCATGTGCACAGAGGTCACCCACTTGCCCTGCGCCATGCCCTGTCCTGTGCCCACAGCAGTCACCACCTGCCCCATGCCACATCCTGCCCCATGCTCACAGCAGTCATGGTCACCCACCTGTCCAGTGCCTGCAGCAATCACCACTTGCCCTGTGGCTCACCCATTTGCCCTGTGCCCACAGCGGTCACCACCTGTCCCGTGGGTCACCCACCTGCCCCATGCCACACAAGCCCTGCTCTGCCACGCTGCCAGTCACATCTCTGCCCCTCCTGCTGGTTTCCAAGCTCCAGGGATGGTTTGCAATGAGTGACCCGAGGTTGGGGTCTCTCCCAGCATCACTGCTGACCCCAAAAATGGGAGAATCCCAAACTCTGTTTTGAAGCACCCACGAATCCCCTGCTGAAATGCTGTACCAAGCCCCTGAAGCAGAAGGACAAAGCAGACAATGTCCACTCTGTGTGCACCCAACTCAGCACGGATCTTGTGTCCCCTGCACATCCTCCCCTCAGCCAGCAGCTTCAGGAAACTGCCTTCACCACGGGCTGGCTGCCAGCAGGGGTTAATGTGAGGCACTGCTGGAGTGGCATTTAGCACGCCAGCCTGTCCTAATTGCTGCCTCTCAGGAGCAGCTGAGACGCCAGGAGAACTTCCAGGAGAACTTCCCCTCTGTGCCCTCACGCAAGGTCCAACCAGTCAGACTGGCTCATCAAAAGCAGGCCCAGGGAGTTAAATAAACTCTGGCAGAGTAAACCCACTAACAATAACATCACTGCCACAAAACTGAAGCCCTGCCAACTTTAATTATGTTTGGGTTGGACAGGGCATCTTTATTGTTTGCTAATGAAGGCAATAAAATAAATTAGCCCAGGCCTTTTAATATTAAATAAATGTATTTTACAGCTGCCTGGGAAAAAAAAAAACAAAACCAAAACCAAACAACCCACAAGGCAGATATAGACTGAATGGTTTTGCAGAGTGACACTGGGTGGATAAAAACATCCCAAGGCAGCAGAAGAGGGAGTGAACTTTCCAGAAGTTAAAGAATTAGGAGTTTTTCCCCAAACAAGCCCTGTAATGCTGCTGGGATGCCCAAATGCTTCCCAAGCTTGCAGTGGCAGGGAAAAAGGAGAGGGTTGGATCCCACCTTTTCCCTCAGCCATTTCAGCAGCTCTCTAGTTCCAGTTCTCTGCTAAAATAAATCCAGGCACTGGCTCAGGCAGAATTGGACTCAGCACCTCCTTCAAGCTGTCCTGACATCATCAGCTCTTCCCTTTGGCAATGAATAATCCCAGGTCCCAGTTCCAGCTCCAGAGCCTCACAGTGTGACAGTCTGGAGCTCCTGTCCACACCAGGCACAGGAGACATTCCCTGCTGCCTTCTGCTGGTGGTAAAGCTGGAAGCACCTGCCTGCACGCTCAGCCAAACACATTTACTGCCCCTCAAACAACACAACCTTAAGGGCTGCTTCTGTTAATCACCATTGTTTTTAATTACAGCAAATCCCACCAGAGTTCTGGCTGACCTTCCAGTGTGAGCTCTCCCAGCATTAGTGCACAATTCCCTCCAGCTGAGAAAAAAAATAAAACTGCCAGAGGGACAAAGGGACTCTGCCCCAGGCCCACTGTTTGTTCCTGAAGCAAAATTGAGGAGAGCGAAAGTTTTCTCTCTGCTCAAAGCAGCCCAGAACACTTCACACATTCAATATTCACATCCAGCCATGGAGGAGCTAAAAGAGGAGAAAAATCAGTCAAGGACAGGGCAAGGAAAAGCCTTTCCAAAGGAAAAGCCACACTGTGGGCATCACCCTCAGGGCACAGCCAGCCTCTGATCCTGGCACAAAGCTCTGCCTGCTCCTGCACCTCCTCACTGTGAAGGAAAGCCTGTTTGAAGAACAGACCCTCCTGCACACTCCTCTGAGCCCCAGCACTCCTGCACAATGCTGGCTCTGCTCAAGGACCTGCTCCCAAAACACAGAGATGCTCAAACACAGGAGTTTGAGTGCCAACAGCAGAAACACAGACAGGCCTGAGCCAACCCACATTTAAATTCTCTGGAAGCAGAAAAAGGCAGCTCACACCTTAGGCAAGGATCAGCCTTTCCAGGGAGGCAGTGTTTGCTAAACAGTTGCATTTCCCAGTAAATAAAGAGACAGATCAACAGCAGCCAGCCCAAACCAGTGAAGACTGATAATGTTCAGGAGTGTGGAGTCCCAGGGATGGATTTAGCTCAGCCACAATCACCTGCTAAATTCTATTAGCTCCAACTTTTCACTTTTGCTTGGAACAGATTCCCACCTTCTTCCTTCCCTGCTCACTTCTAAAACCCAGAGTTGTTTTACAAGTGTTTTACTTGACACTTTTAGACGTGTTTTACTTGCCTAGCTCCACAAAACCTGCCCTCAGAAAAGCATCCCAGTGGACTGAAGTGTTTATCCCACACACACCAAGTTCTTTCAGTCAGCAATAAAACCCCAGGCTGGAAGTCCTGCAGGTGAATCTGTTGGGGAACTCAAAAGGCTGACTCCAAACTGACATCAGCAGTTTGGTTTTTTTGGTTTTATCATCCTCCATGGCATCAAAAAGCAGGCAGGGATCCACAGAACAGGGATCCCACAGTGCCAAGAGCTGGATATGAACTCCCTGCCAATCTCCAGCATCAGTTTTTGTGCTGTTGCAGCAGACAGAGAATCACTGTCTCAGTCAGAATCACTGTCTCTATTAACACAATCATCTCTCAGACTGGCCCAGGGTGAAAAAAAAGAAAAAAACCAAAAACAAAACAAGAGAAAGAAGTGCTTTGTCACAACTAGGAAGTGCTTTTTGCAAGGAGAGCTTCCCTTAGGAAACCAGAAAAACTCTGCAGGGAGAACCCTGCCACAGACACATCCAAAAGCAAAAAGGCTTTTGGAGCTCTTGGCATTGATTTAATCACACCAGCTGCTCTTTGAGGCACTGAGAGGCAGCTCAGCATCCCCCTTCCAGCTGCTGAACAAAGGGATTGGGAGTGCAGCAAACAGGATTGGGTTTCCATCCCTGAATTTACTCACTGCTGCTCAGTGCATGGTGCTTTTCCTCCCAGGAATTCTGCTGCTGGAATCCCCTATCAGCCATCCTGCTCAGATTGGCTGCCAACAGTGGCTTAGCTTTTGTTTCAGACTAGACATCCACAGAGGCCCTGTCCCCTCTCAAACAAGCCAGCTGGAAGATGGATTGACAAGTATGAAATTTGAAAAAATCCCACAAGATAGACAGGAAATCACACAGAAAATGAAGAGGTGCTTGCTCACACAGCACAGTGCGGTTTCTTCCACAGAGAGATGCTGAAAGCTTGGGGAGATTTAAAAAGCAAGAGGTTAAATTAAGCAGGGGAAAAAAGCCATTGACCCTGAACTCTCACTGCTGCCTCAGGAAGCCTTAAAATCATGAAAAATCAAAGACAAAGCAGTGGGGGAAAGCCTCACTGCATGTTTGTTTCAATTTTCCTGGAGGATCCCTGCAAACACAACACTGAGCTGCTACAACCCACTGTGTTCTCCTCTCACCCCAGAGCAGAATGGGACACTAGGAAGAGGAATGACAGAAATGGAGAACTAGGACATTGTTACACACCAGAACCATCAAAAAAAGAGTCTTTTCAAAAGTGAAAAGCAGCAAATCATTACAAATCCATCAGCTTCCTCCCCTGAAGCGTTTCACACCCCAGATGGAATTTCCAGGCTGAGGAAGAATGACAGCCCAAGGAGCTGCGCACACTTCTGCTCAGGCTACCAGAATATCAGTTGGTTTGAGTCCCTGCAAGAAGAGCTGACATCTGATTTCATTCTGATGTGGGAAAGAAACACTCCTGAAATCCCAAATTTCCTTCACTCCCACATTTTACTTAAAATCAAAGGCAAGATATCCCAAGGAGACTAAAGTTACCTGAAATTTGGACTAAATGTTCCATAAATCCTTTTTACATGAACTATATTTAAACCCACATAGAAATGCAGAACTACAACCCAAAGAGTGCCAGAAGCAGAGGAAATCTCCTGAAACCATGAAATTACAAACCCTGAGCCCATCCCTCTGCCTCTCTCAGAGTCCATGTGGGTTCCCCAGGCCCCTGAAATCAAAGCAAGGATTCAAACACCTCTTATTCAGTTCCTAACCACCAGCTTTGCTCCCTGCTGGAGCAACACTTACTTTGCTGCCTGTCACAGGCATCTTTTATGAAAAATCCTTTCCTTAGGATTTTTCCTCTTGAGAAGCTGAGAAGTTTCAAGAACAAAACGTAAACAATGATTATCTGCTGCTGTGGAATGCAACAGGTGCATCTGTGATTGGTCTCATGTGCTTGTTTCTAATTAATGGCCAATCACAGTGAGCTGGCTTGGACAGAAAGAATGATAACAAAGGCTTGTGGCTCAGACTTCCTTTTTCTATTCTTAGCTTATTTCTGGTGAAATCCTTTCTTCTATTCTTTTAGTATAGTTTTAATATAATATATATTAAAACTGCACAATGTTGGCTCTGCTGAAGGACCTGCTCCTAGAACACAGAGATGTTCATACACATAAAATAACAAATCAATAAAAATCAGAAATCATAAAATCAGAAATCAAGCCTGCTGAAACATGGAGTCAGATCCTCATCTCTTCCCTGTGAACACAGTCACAGCTGCCCTCTCTGAGTATTTCTCTCAGAAGCACTGCAAAGAAAGGCTGTGTGTGAACACACAAACCCAACTCTGCTTGCACCACATCAAGCTGACTCCTTAGCAAAACTCCACCTGTGTGTGGCCCCAAAAGCAGCACTTTGGGTCCGTATCAGGCACATACCCGTGCAGAACTCCTTGTGGGGGTTCTGGGGCACCACAATCCTCCTGTAGACGATGGGCTCTGACTCCAGGATGTTCTCGTCGTGCCGGTAGCGGGCGGGTTTCTCGCTGGGGGTCCCTCGCGAGCGGGTGCCGCTCCTCCTCTCGTAGGTCTCGATCTCCTCAAACACAGCTGCCTTGTCAAAAAGGGCCAGGTTGCCCTCAAAATCGAAATCAGTGTCTGGGATTTCATCAATGTCATCCCCAAAGCATTCGTCGTCCTTGCTCTTCATCTGCCCGTTCTTCAGGCCGCTCTTCTTTGGGGTCACCTGGTTGGGGTGGCGGCTGCTGGATGACCCTAAGGCAAAAGAAAAGCAAGGTGGGAGTGGGTCCTGAAAGGGAAAAAGGCATTTTGGGGCACAGGGGAGCTCCTGCTCACAGTCCCCTCACTCAAGGGGTGCTCACCATGGAGCTCAGCCCTGGAGCTGGCATTACTCAGGCTCAGCTAAGGCAGCAGGAAATAGAACATCAAATAGGAAACAGAACACCAATAGAAAATAGAGCATCGGCAAAGAGACTTTTAGGGACTTCCCTTCAGCAGCCAGGTTAGAATAACAGCCTTGCCCACAGTTTCTCCAGGTTTTATTTAATCCCAGTGGTCAGGTAAATCAGCTAGGAGTTTTCCCATGTTCAGGCAGGTGTGTGACCCATGCCCTTCGCTGGAATTCTCCAAAATTTCAGAAACTACTGTAAAGTGTTTCCTTCCCTATTAGTGATCTTTAACGGAGAACTTCAAACCCTGAATAGAAAGGATCTCTTTTTGCTCAACCTTGATGTAATCAATTTCTGTGATATAACACACAGTCCATTGCCTCATTCCTGTTTCACTCTCCTCTTTACCCATTACCTTGTGTTTTGGAATACACTTCTTTCCAACCACAAGTCATTGGGAAAGCCCAAATTCTCTGGAGTGAGACTGATGAAAGTCATCAGTTCTTCATCTGATGCAAATATACAATTATGAGCTCAACATATCCTTTACTTGCTCATTTCTTCCTTTGTCCTCCAGGTCCAGACAATATTATTCTGTTTGTCCTTGGCAGTGTCACATTTGCAATTACTAAAAAATATTTCAGGCCAATTCCTGCAGTTCCAGGAGTCACCTACAGTGTCCAACAGATGGAGTAAGTCATCAAGCCAGAGCTCTTGCTCTACTAAACCATTTCCTGTTGTTTAAGATAATCCCATTAGTGAGGGATTTATACAAATGACTCGGAGAGAATCAATTTGATACCACAGAAACAAAGAATTCTGAGCCATCCAAGGAGATTTCCAAACATCCCAAAAGATTTGCAGGCACAAACTCCAGCAGCACAAGTCCAGTTTGAGCATGTCTAAGTCCAGTCATGCTGAAATGGGATTTGCTGAGGATGTGGACCTGGTTTATTTCCACTCAGAGATGCACTGCCTCAGCAAGGATTTATTTCAGATAGTGTGGGGCTTGGTTTTTCTCAAGAACTGGTTAATAACTAACCTGAAAGCTTTCCCAGTCACCACAGCAAGATCCTAAATCTGCCAGGCCTTGCAGAATAACCACTCCCCATTAAGGGAAAAAAACCAAACAACCTTCTCAAATGATAATGCACTTCTGTCTGGGAAGGACAGACAGCAGAATTCCAGCACTGTGGTGACAAAACAGGATTTAGGAGAGAGGAAAGGAGAATTGCAGTAAGCACACTGCAACCACTCATTTATGTGCATGGTTTTGAAAGTTTTTGGTACCAAACTCCACTCTGTCCCAGATAAAGAGCTCCCAAACCAAAGGTGACACAAAGCTGGACAGGATTTGGTGTGGAACTGAAGTTCCACTGCTGGAATGACAGCCACAGCTGCTGCTCTGAAGGAGGAAGATGAGGAATGCAAACACAACAGGCCCGAGCTCTCCCAACACTCAGGAACTGCAGTTCAAGCAGGAGCCAAGGGACTCTCAGGGTTCAGGGGGACAAGCTGGAGCCTGCACTGCCACAAAGGCAAAGCCAGCCTGTTCCTTGTGTCAGGGCAAGAGTTTGGCCAGCTCAGGCTGCTCCTGTCACACTCCACACTCCCCCCAGCTGCCCCAAAACTCAGAGGGGGACAGGAGCAGCTGATGTGAGCATGGAATGCTGATGGAATAAAGCTGCAAAGCTCCCTGCAGCCACAAAGAAAGGGAGCCAGGAGCCCACCTCATCAAAAGGTGGTGGGCAGCTCCCTGAGCCATCCTGAGCTCTGCCCTGGCTGCCCCACAGCCCCCTAACAAGGCACACAGGACGTGCCACAGGCCTGCAAGGAGCTGGGAGCGAAGTTAGGAGCTGTTCCTCTTCAGGTGTTGCTTTCTAGGCAGCAAAAAATGACAGCTGGTTCTGCTCAGGGAAAAGAACAGAGGCAAAAAAAGGGCAAGGGGGGAAAGGAAAGCCAGGCTCAACAAGGCAGATCTCCTGTTCCAGCTGCCTCTGGATCACAGCTCCCAGTGCTCTGCCCTGCATGAGGAGAGCTCCACTCCAAGCTGGCACACACAAAAGCACCTCCCTCACAAGATAAACAACCCTTCCCAGGCTTTTTTTTGTTTCTGAGGAATAACAACCCTTTCATGTACAGCACACAAGCAAACAAAGTCTGCAGCAAGCTGGCTGCCTTCCTGAGAGATCCCTGTGGGAGGCTTTGCTGCCAGCCCTGGCACCACGAGCCCGGTGCCAGCACGGCAGCAGAGCCATTGTTGGGAAACCTGAGCTGGGGTTTGGTGTTTATTGATTCCTGTCACACCAGGGCTCCAAAGGGCAATTGTGGCCCTCACTTGGCACGCTAGAGGCCAACAGGAGGGCAACTTTCAGCTGCAGGACACAAGTTCTGGATGACATCTCAGCCTATTCTTCCCTACAAAGCCAGGCTCAATTCCATTCTCCTCCCAAAACTCACATCACTCACCCTACTCTCCAAATGCACATTTTACAGGGTAAAATATCCCTTCTGTACCTCCTGTGCTCCAAAATGAACCAAAGGCAACACCTAGGACCTCACTCAACCTGCCTCAAAGTCTGTTGTGCTCATGTAAACCCAACATGAGTTGTTTGTGGGGTGAAGCTGACAACTCTTAACTCTGCTCACCCCAAATCTACCAGACATCCTGGAAGGGGTAAAAATATTCCAGTTGGTGCTGGAGGGAGAAATCCTCCAAAGGGCAATTGTGGCCCTCACTTGGCACACTAGAGGCCAACAAGAGGGCAACTTTCAGCTGTAGGACCCAAGCTCTGGATGACATCTCAGCCCATTCTTCCCTACAAAGCCAGGCCCAATTCCATCCCCCTCCCCAAACTCACATCACTCACCCTGCTGTCCAAATGCACATTTTACAGGGTAAAACATCCCTTATTCCTCCTTTGGAATCCCTTATACCTCCTTTGGAATCCCCCCTAAATTTCAAAATGAACCCAAGCCAACACCTAGGACCTGACTCAACCTGCCTCAAAGTCTCTAGAAGTCACCTGTTGTACATGAGTTGTTTGTGGGTTCAAGCTCTGCTCACCCCAAATCTACCAGACATCCTGGAAGGTGTAAAAATATCCCAGTTGGTGGTGAGGGAGAAAGACTTCCAGAGGTCTAGGAATTTCTCCCCAAAACCACAGCCTTACACCTGTTTCACTGGTCTGGCCCACCTTGGTTTGTTTATTTTGCAAGAAAATGAAATAATGGAATTACTCTGGATGCATAACAATTAAGTCATGGAAATATGCTGGATGTACACTGAAATTAGAAGAATTGGATTATGAGGATCTGGAAAGGAAGACAGCTCAGGAGGGTTTGAGGAAAAAAAATCAACAAAGCCAGTTTTGGCCCAATTTTGAAGATTTTATCAAGAGAAATAAAAATAAGGGATGTGTGGCTTTGGGATGCTCTGATTTTACATCACCCTCATTAATTTATATTTTAACAACACAGCCAAAACCCATTTGTAATTATGTATGGAGTGATGCTGTAATAGGTTATGGGTATAGAAGCCTTAAATAGAAAAGCTTGGGGAGATTTAAAAAAGCACGAGGTTAAATTAAGCAGAAAAAAAAAAGCCATTAATCCTGAACTCTCACTGCTGCCTCAGGAAGTCTTAAAATCATGAAAGACAAAACAGTGGGGGAAGTCTCACTGCATGAGTCTTTCACTTTTGCTGGAGGATCCCTGCAAACACAACACTGAGCTGCTACAACCCACTGTGTTTTCCTCCCACTCGAGGATCACACTGCAGTTTGTAGCAGCTCCTTTTAGTAGAGGAGAAGGCTGGAGGCTGGGAATCTTCCAACAGGAAAGATAGCAAACTGAGGAAATCCTTGGAACTGGCATTAGACATTTTCTACACAGACAGAATCACTGAGGTGGAAGAGACCTTTAAGATAATTGAGTCCAAGCCATGCCCTAACACCACTTCAACTGGATCACAGCACTGAATGCCACATCCAGGGATGGTGACTCCACCACCTCCCCAGGCAGACAAATCCAATACTTCATCCCTCTTTCTTTTCTTTTTAAAAAACCTTTTCCTTACATCCAACCTAAATTTAAGACTGTGTCCTCTCATTCTGTCAAGAACAAGAGACCAACCCTGTCCTGGACTGCCAAGCAAGATGTATTCTATTGGCCATCTGGATGGCAGTTGTCTTCTGTTAAATGGGCAGTTTTCCTTATCTCTTCCACACCCATTCCTCCCTCAGGATGGGACATCTGCTGATAACAGCTATTGAATGTCACTGCATGACTGATAAGAACTATAACATCCCACTGGGAGATGTGAGCCCAGAGGGAGGAGCCAAGCATTGCTATCCAGATATAATCTGGAGATTCTGGAGCACCAGCACAGCTTCTCCTCTGGATTTTCCCAGAGGAACAGCAGCTGCCTCTCCTTCCATGGGATCTTCAGAGGAAGAGACTGCACCTTCCTACAGGATCCCTGCTCCAACAGAACCAGCCCTGGCACTGCAGGAGGGCTGAGCCACAATTCCAATGGGACTGCTGCCAACACCCTGACCCACAGGGTGTCAGGCTGGGTTCTGACTCTGTCAGTGTTGGTTTAGTTTACTGCATTGTTCATTTTATCCTTTCATTTTCTTCCCTATTAAAGAACTGTTATTGCTGCTCCCATATATTTTGCCTGAGAGCCCCTCAATTTAAAATTTATACCAATTTGGAGGGAAGGGGTTTACATTTTCCATTTCAGGGGAGGCTCCTGCCTTCCTTAGCAGACTCCTGTTTTTCAAACCAAGACAACCCTCACCTGACTACACCTTTCAGATGGGGTCAGAAATATTTCAAACTAACCCACAGGTGGGCCAGGGGAAGTTGCCAGCAAAGCCTGGTGGCAAAGGGAAGATGCTGGCCAGGAGAGCCCCACACTCACAGGAGTTGTGTCTCCTCCTGAAGCCTTTGGACTGGCTCAGCGTTTCCATGTGCCGATCCATGTAGCTCTTGGAGCACTGCTGCTGTGGGGAGATGACAATGTCCTGGCTCTTCATGTCTGTCCTCCTGGGGATGTTCTGGGGGGCACTGCTGGACATGGGCTTCTTCAGCACCTTGCCAGTGCCATTCTGGCTGGGCCCCACCTGGCAGCCCACCCCTGGCATGGCTGTGTCCATGTGCTGCGAGTCCCCACATTGCCTGCTGTCCCCTGGTCCTGGGATCTCCAGGATCTTCAGCTCAGTGATGTCACCTGCCCTAAAAACAGCAGCAGAAAAGCAGGAATTTAGCACACGCCCTGGCAGGAAAAAAATCTCCTGAGGAAAAACATCCTTTTCCAATGGGATTGTTCTGATGTCATCATCAATGGAAACAAGAGAATAAAAGGATTTTAATGCTCAAACAGACAGATATCAAAATGTTCAACTGAAATGGCAAATCTTCAAAATAACCACTTCAGTATGCCTGCCCTGCACCTGGATTTTGTTTGAAAGGCTCTGCAGCTGAAACAGGAATCAGTCAAGCAAAAAAATGGAAGCAAGTGGCCCAGAGCTTTGCAGAAATCTGCATTAATTTAACAGTTCCCAGCTAATTAATTGCTCTCAGCCTTGAGGCTACTATTACTTTTAATCCATTTCTGCAGAATGCTACCCTCAGATCAGAGCAGTTCATGCTCAGACAAGGAGGATACTTCCCATTTCCAAAGAAAAAAAAGCTAAAGACAACTAATCTAGCACTGGGCAGAAGCCAAAATTAAACAAAGGAGTGATTATAAAGCCCTCCATTTGCACTGACTACAAGAAATAAGTCAGCAATGAGGCTCTTCCAGCTTTAACTCAGCATTTATCCAAGTGGGATGTGAAAGCAGGGTGACTCCACACATCTCCTGCTGCCTTCCCCCAGTGCCTCTCTGCAAAATCCAAGGGGAAAAAAATAAATTCAGAGTATTGACTTTGAGGAGTCAGTGTTATTCAATAAGGAGTGACTCAGAGCCTTAAGCACAACACTGCAGGGAACAGGAAAATGGGCACTGAGCAGTGACTCCTATTTATATTTTTAAGCACAGTGTTAGCAGGAACTGGTGGGAAAACTGCTGAGGGAAAAGCTTTGAAAAAGCATCTCAGACCCCCCTGCTACAACAGAATAGAATAGAAATAAAAATAATAAAAATACAAACATATAAAATATACATTAAAAATTAGATTAAAAATTCATATATATTTATATATAATAAAAATATATATTTATATGTTCTAGATTTAGATATATATAATTTAAAATTATATATATTATATATTGATAATTTTAAGTTATATTATATAGAATATAGAAATAAAATTATAAATAAAATTATATGTAAAATAGTATAAAAATATAGTAAAATATAGTATAAAACATATTACATTATAAATTTATAAATGTATTTATATATAATAAAAACACGATATTATAGTAAAATATATTATAAAAAACATATTATAGTAAAACTTAGAAAGAGTAATTTTAAATTATGAGCTTTAAAACATCTAGAACATAGCTGAACAAAAAATTAATAAACCAAAACCCACTTCTGGTGTTTTACAGCTGTAGAGGCTTTGGTTCAGTTTGAGATGTCACCAATTTGGGATGTCCCAGCTAATGCCCTAAGGAGTGTGCTGGGTTCAGGGCTGGCCAATCCCCAGTGCTGTTCTCACTCCCTGCTGGAAGACAGCACTAGGAGGAAGCTAAAGCAGCCTCAAAACTTTCCAAGGTATAAAGAAAAGGGTTAATTTTTTGTGCTGGTGAATGCTTGCATCTCTTTCCTAAATGTCTCTCATGCAAAACTATGACAATTAAGAAGTAGTTCAAATTCTAATTGTAACAGCATAAATCATAACATTTATATTGTCTCACTCTTCTCATAAAACTTAAAAGTTTTAAAACAGCTCTCAGTTACCCTATCTCTAAATCAAAATAAAAATTATAATCCAACAGCCAGGCTGTCTTAGGTTGGAAATGGGGGTGTGTATTCTATTTCTATCTGTGGTGCTGTTTTCTTCTGTTAATGAGCCATTAATTATTAATTATCTCCTGTTCATGGCCAGTGAGTGTCCCTGCATGGCTGATCCAATTCCACCATCCCATGGGGAGATGCTCTACCCAGGGGAGGAGCCAAGCATTCCTACCTGGATCCAATCTGAGCTTTGGGACACCCCAGCAGCCTTTGCCCCCTGCATTCCCAGAGGAGCAGTGGGAAATGTGCACCACAGGGACCCTCTTATGGCTAAACAGGCACCCAGCTCCATCACCATGTCTTAGTTTGGAAACGGGGCTGTGTACTCTGTTTGCCATCTGTTACAGGTGGGGCAGTTCTCCTCTGTTCATTGGGCAGTTTTCTTTATCTCTTCCACAGCCAACCCTCCCTCCAAGAGATCTCTTCTGTTAATTAATTCTGTTAATCTCTTCTGATGCTCTGCCCAGGGGAGGAGCCAAGCATTCCTGCCTGGATCCAATCTGAGGTTTGGGACACCCCAGCAGCCTTTGCCCCCTGCATTCCCAGAGGAGCAGCCTTCTGCTGCCCTGCATTGCCAGAGGGAGCCCAGGCCCATCTCCAGCAGCCCTGGAGCTGCAGAGGAAAACTCCCCCCTTGTGCAGGATCCCTGCTGCAGCAGAGCCACAGCTGGCACTGCAGGAGGGCTGAGCCCCCACGGGATGGGGCTGGGACACCGCCCTGACACACAGGGGGTGTCAGCTCCTGCTCTCACTCTGGCAGTTTGTTTCAGAACCCAGGACATTGCTCTGGCTGCCCTGGGTGATTCCAGACCCTGGCAGGGAGCTCAGAGACCTTGGCACAGAGTCAAAGACACACATGCCTTTGATTTTAGCCCATGGAAACAATGACCAACTTTGTGTGAAGATTTACAAGCCACAAGAGTTTGAGTAGAATGATAACGAATTTATCACCAGGTGAAAATGTAGAATATTGGGGTTTTACAAAGAGGGTCATAAAAGCAAGATGGAGGAATCTGGGCGTGTCCTTTTCCTTTTCTTGTTGTCCTTAATCTTCTGCTGTCATGGTGGCTCTTTTGGATTGGTTTAGGATAGAGACAGACTGTCTAACACAGGTGATAGGTATTGGAAAATTATTGTAAATAAAGTACAGGCAGTTCTTAGTATAAAAAGATAACACCGCCCTGAGGGCAGTCAGTGTGCTACAACCCAACCTGTTGGACAGATCTCAGCAGGTCAGACAGACCATGTATTGGATAAGAGCAAATAAATAACCTTGAGATGGAGAGCCAAGGAATTCTGTCGTCTTCTTCAGTCACAGAGCTGGGAAAAAGATTTTCTAACACCTCAGGGTCATCTCGATACCAGAGACCTTGTCAGGTTTGTATCACTGCATTTTTATTTTTTTTCTTCCCTAATAAAGAACTGTTATTCCTACCCCCATATCTTTGCCTGAGAGCACTTTAATTTCAAAATGGTAGCAATTCAGAGGGAGAGGGTTTACATTTCCCATTCCAGGGGAGGCTCCTGCCTTCCTTAGCAGAGTTTTCACACCAAGACCGTGGCACAGGGGGCAAGGCAGGCACTCACCTGAAGGTGACCTCTGGCACGAGGCATTTGACGCCGTTGTGGAAGGGCCGTGTGAGGGAGATGGTCTGGCTGACCTGATCCACAGCAGACACCCTGCCCTGGTACACCCCCAGGCTCTCCCCACAGTTAATGGACACGATGCTGCCCAGCCAGTCCGTGGCCATGGCTGTGGCACAGAGCTGCTGCAACGAGATGCACAAAGCCACAACCTGAGTCAGATCCACAGCCCCAGAGCCCTCCCAGCTCTGCTCCTCCTCCCTCCTTGGTGGGGAGAAAATGACAGCCCAACCATCCCAGGCAGAGTCTAAATCCCTGGATAATAAAAATAATTTACAATGAAATATAAACATATCTCTTGGGGCTTTGCCTTTCCCACTGTATGGCAGATCTTTGCTTGATCGGCTGAATTCAAGATCCAAAAGAAATATTCAGTGTTTTGTCCTGCCTGTGGATATTCTCCTCTTGCCTTTTTCCAAGCTAGAAATGAAACTCCAGATAATTTTAGTAAGGAGGTGATATAAGATAGATAACCACAAAAGCCCCTGAAAATCTGCTCTATAGAAAGTTGTCCACAAAAGCCCCTGAAGGCCTTCAAATAAAGATCCGCAGATCTTTGTTTAACCAGCTGAATTCAAGATCCAAAAGGAGTATTTAATGTTTTGTCCTGCCTGTGGATATTCTCCTGTTGCCTTTTTCCAAGCTAGAAATGAAACTCAAGATAATTTTAGTAAGGTGGTGATATAAGAAAGATGTTCACAAAAGTCCCTGAAGGCCTTCAAATAAAGATCCACAGATCTTTGAGTGAATTTAAAATCCAAAAGAAAGAATCAGTTTTGTCCTGCCCGTGGATATTCTCCTGTTGTCTCTTCCCCAGCCTGGAAATGAAATTTGAGATAATTTTAGTAAGGAGACGATATAAGATGTTCACAAAAGTCCCTGAAGGCCTTCAAAAAAGGATCTGCAGATCTTTGTCTGACCAGCTGAACTCAAGGCTGATGCTTCCAAAAGAAATATTCAGTGTTTTGTCCTGCCTGTGGATATTCTCCTCTTGCCTTTTTCCAAGCTAGAAATGAAACTCCAGATAATTTTAGTAAGGAGGTGATATAAGATGTTCACAAAAGCCCCTGAAGGCCTTCAAATAAAGATCTGCAGATCTTTGTTTAACCAGCTGAATTCAAGATTCAAAAGGAGTATTTAATGTTTTGTCCTGCCTGTGGATATTCTCCTGTTGTCTCTTCCCCATCCTGGAAATGAAACTCAAGATATTTCTTATATCCCCTCCTTACAAAAATTATATTCACAAAAGTCCCTGAAGGCCTTCAAATAAAGATCTGCAGATCTTTGTCTGACCAGCTGAACTCAAGGCTGATGCTTCCAAAATATTCAGTGTTCTGTCCTGTCTGTAGATATTCTCCTGTTGTCTCTTTCCCAGCCTGGAAATGAAATTTGAGATAATTTTAGTAAGGAGTGATATAAGATGTTCACAAAAGTCCCTGAAGGCCTTCAAATAAAGATCTGCAGATCTCTGACTGGCTGAATTCAAAATCCAAAAGAAAATTTAGTGTTTCATCCTGCCTGTGGATATTCTCTTTCCAAGCTGGAAATGAAACTCAAGATAATTTTAGTAAGAAGGTGATATAAGAAATATGTTCACAGAAGTCCCTGAAGGTCTACAAATAAAGATCTGCTCTTATATCACCTCCTAACTAAAATTATTTCAAGTTTCATTTCCAGGCTGGGAAAAGGCAACACTCCCTGTGATTTCAGACTGGGAATTTCTCTTCATTTCCCCCATTTCATTTCCAGGCTGGGAGAAAGGCAACACTCCCTGTGATTTCAAACTGGGAATTCTCTTCACTTCCCTGGTTTTGGCAGATGGACATTGGCCAGAACAGCTCCTGTGAATGTTCAGGATTGATCTCTGCATGTGCAAATGAAAGCCAAAATCTTTCAGGGAACTGAGATACAGAGCAGGAGGGGAACCCCAACCAACAGAGAAACACAAAAGGGGAGGAAAATCCCCAAAAACTGGAATGCAGGACAAAAGCAGCAAAGGCAGCCTCACATCACTGCCACAATTAGATAAAAGAATTAAAAAATGGTTGCTCTCCTTCCCAGCACTCGAGTTCTGTCAGAAGCAGGGAGGAAAAACTCCAATTTGTTTAGACAGATGTTTCCAACACTGCTGGAAGCAGCTAAAAAGCTCCTTTGATCCCAGATTTCCCAGTGACAGGCTCACAAGCATCATGGAGAACAAGAGACATGACAAGCTGCTAAATGTATAGATTTGCCTTTCATGCTGCAATCAAAGAGGGAGAATGTTTGATATTTACTGTGAGCAGCACAAAGAAACACGGGAGACAGCCCAGGGAGATCAATTTCCATGTAAAAATCACATTGCTGGAAGTGGCAGCTGCATGGAAAAAGATGCAAGGAAAAAAAAACCAAACTGGATGAGGGAAAAAAAAATAAAAATCTCACTTCCCCCAAGTTTCACAGGCTGAAAACTAAATTAAATTTGGTCATAAAGCCATAAATTCCTCAGGAGCAGGCTCCTCTCCTTCCTGTGGCTGTGTGTTGATATGAAGCCATGATGAGAATGTCTGCATTCCAAGGAGATGGCTGATAAAAAGCACCCTCAAAACAGAGATAACACATCCCTGGGTAAGCTAAAGCTTCATTTCCATTTCCTGTTTCGTTTTTAATCTCCCTTAGGAAATATGGGAAGGAGCTCAGCACACATCATCACCTCACAGGGATCCTTTGGAAAAACAAGAGGCTGCTTTTAGCAAAAAACACCCAATAATAAATCTGTGATTGAGTGCAAATATAAATTAAACTATTCTGGGGTTGGATTTGGGGGGTGGCTGTGTGCCTGTAGGAAAATAGAAGGGGCCCCATAGGTAAACACAGGGATCCCAAATATTGTAAATATTGTAAATAAATATTGTAAATAAATATTGTAAATATTGTAAACAAGTGGACCAAGCACAGGTAAATTCAACCAGACCCACAGGTAAATATAGGGGCCCCCTCAAGGTAAAAAGGGGAACCCCCAAGGTGAAAAGGGGGATCCCCCCATGGATAAACACAGGGAACACTCCATGGATAAATACAGGGAACCCCTAAAGATAAACACAGGGATATCCCATGGATAAACACAAGGACCCCCTAAAAATAAATACAGGGATATCCCAGGGATAAACACAGCAACCCTCATGGATAAACAAAGGGAACCCCCAAAAATAAATACAGGGATATCCAGGGATAAGGACAGAGAACCCCCCAAAATAAACACAGGGATATCCCAGGGATAAACACAGGGAACCCCCAAAAATAAACACAGACTCCGCCCATGGATAAACACAGGGACCCTCATGGACAAACAGGGAACCCCCCATGGATAAACACAGGGAACCCCCAAAATAAATACAGGGAATCCCTCATGGATAAACACAGACCCATCCCATGGATAAATACGAGGACACGAGGAACCCCCCCATAGATAAACATAGGGAACCCCCAAAAATAAACACAGGGATACCCCATGGATAAACACAGGGACACTCCCCCCAAAAAAGTAAACCCAGGGCCCCCCAAAACACAATACCCCCCCCCATAAGCAAACACAGCCCCCCACACAGATAAACACAGGGCCCCCATAGGTAAACACAGGGAGCCTCATACATAAACATGGTCCCCCCATAGGCAAACATGCCCCCCCCATAAGCAAACACAGCAACCCCCGGGCAAGCACGGGACTCAAACACAGTTTAACCCCTTGTTAACCACAGCCGCCCCTCAGGCCTCTGGCCCCGTGCCTCCCCCGGCCCCACCTCCCCACCACGGCCCGCTCAGGCCGGGCAGGGCCTGGCGCCGCCGCCGCGCCTCACGGCAGTCCCGCAGAGCCCCAGCCCGCCGGGAAGGCAGCACGGCAGCGCAGCCCGCTCGCTCCGATCGGCCAGGCCGTGCCCGCCGTGCCCCCGGTGCCCCTCACCCGCCGCCGCCGCCGCCGCTGCTCCCGCCTCACCGCGGCCCCTCCGCCTCACAGACGCTCGGCGTGACGCCACTTCCGGCCACGCCCCCCGCGCGGCGCTCCGGCCGCCGGCGGGGCCATAGAGACGGGCTGGGAGTCGCGCTGTGCGCATGCGCAGTGCTCGTGTCAGGAGCACTCCTGCAGCTGGCACACCTGTGTCACACACCTGTGTCACACACCTGTGTCACACACCTCTGTCACACACCTCTGTCGCACCAGTGTCACATACCTGTCACATCTGTCCCTCCGTCCCTGCATCCCCTCCGTCATCTCCATCACACTATCCCTTCCACCTCTCCATCACATCATCCCTCTCCATCACCTCCATCCCTTCCATCACCTCCATCATCTTCATCACACTATCCCTTCCATCATCTCCATCCCTTCCATCACCTCCATCATCTTCATCACACCATCCCTTCCATCATCTCCATCCCTCTGTCATCTCCACCCTTCTATTATCTCTATTCCATCATCTCCATCTCACCATCCCTTCCACCTCTCCATCACACCATCCCTTCCATTAATTCCATCATCTCCATCACAGCATCCCTCCATCACACCCTCCCTTCCACTTCTCTCACATCATCCCCCTCCATCACACCATCCCTTCCATCAACTCCATCATCTCCATCTGTTCATTATCTCCATCCCCTCCATCGCACCATGCTCTCCATCTCCATCCATCCCATCTCCATCACACCTCTGTCACTTTTTCATTCCTTCCATTCCCTCCACCCTCTTCATCCCCTCCATTCCCTACCAAGGCTGTTCTCCTTCCCACATCCCCACACCCAAATCACCAATAACTCCATGCTCTGGTGGGGCTGGGAACTCTGGAGGGCTGATCCCTGCCGGGACCGCCCTTGGAGAAAAACAGACCCCAACTTTCCATAGAGTCCCTTCGTATTTCCATTGGAAATTTGTGTTTATTGCCTTTCTTTGTTTGTTTTTTAAGGGAAAGTGTACAAAGCTATGGATTTAATGATGCTCTGAGATGGAGATGAAACATCTCCCCACAGATGCCTCCCTGAAAGGCTAGGTTTGACCCATTGATTCCAGTTTTTCAGGGATAGAAAACCACTCCTGATTTTTAGTAAAGCCCTGAACTGATCCAAAGCTTGGCACCACCTTTCTGCCTTTATACAGGAGAAAGAACAGGATCAGCTCCCTTTGGGATTAAAAACTTCCCCCAATGCCACTGGAGTCACAGCCCTCTTATTTCCCACAGGAAAAAGCCCAATCCAACACACCAACTCACATTTTTAGGGATGATAGAGGGACATAGGGAGCTTCCCCCCCCACTGCCAAAAAAAAAAATTCCCAGTGGAATAAGATCAGAAAGAGACTTAAAAGATGCTCATGTAATTATTTATTGGGTTAGAAATATGGTGTGGTTTCCATCACAAACAGGCAGGAATTGCTGCTCCATTTGCTTCACCTTCCCACTGGTAAAGCTGAATGCAGCAAAAGGCACCTCCTGCAAACCTGAAAACTCCTTAACCTGGATATAAAAATCTATTGCTTGATAAAGAAAAAGACCCTGATATTTAAAAAAGGCAGCAAATGCATAGTTAGTCTGAAAGCTGGCGTGTCCTGAAGTTCCCTGTCCATTCTCCCCAGTCCCTTGAGATTTTCATGGTAGGGATTGGTTTAAAATCTCAATTTGTGAGTGGCTCTGCTGGTGGATTTTTTTTTAATCAGTAGGAACACTCAAGAATTCACTCCATGAGTTTACATTCAAGGAATTTGGGTGTGTGGGTGCACCCAGGATAGGGTATATTTTTTTTTTTAATCTGGATGGTGGATTTTTTATTTTTAATCAATAGGAACACTCAGGAATTCACTCCATGAGTTTACATTCAAGGAATTTGGGTGTGTGGGTGCACCCAGGATAGGTCCCCTCGAGGTGGGTGCTGCTGAAGGCTCCAGAACCTTTCTGAAGCAGCAGGAAGGATCCATTCCCAGTGGGGCAACGAGCTGGAAAAGAGGATTTCACCCCATGGGATAAGGCTGGGCAGGATTCCCTGAGAAGAACCTGCAGGTTTAGATCTGTTTGGATGGAGGGAGCTGCCTAGGGCAGGTGAAGCACATCCCACCCTCTCCACCACAGGGTGCATCTCTCCATGACACCTCTGGGGATCATCCATGTGGGAAGGGCGGATGGAGCTGGGAAGAGCCCCACAAAGCCCAGCTGCCCTTCCAGGAGAGGAATCATCCTCCAGAGGATGCACAGCGAGGGGCAGAGCCTCCAACCCCCTGCAGCAGCTCACAGAGAGCTCTTCTCGGGGAACCGCTGCCGGATCTGGAAGGCTTCACACTTTTTGTACTTCATGGTCAGTCCATACTGTGGGGTGACGTCCACCGGCTCCCCGGGCCGCAGGCTGAAGTGCAGCTGCTGCAGCAGTGTGGTGAGGAAGAGGAAGATCTCCCAGCGGCCGATGGTCTCGCCGAGGCAGCGGCGCCGGCCCAGCCCGAAGGCCAGAACCTTCTCGCCCTCGGCGCGGTTCAGCTCCGTCCCTGATGCGCTCAGGAACCGCTCGGGCCTGAAGGCTGAGGGCTCCTTCCACAGCGCCCTGCGACACACAGGGAACACACCGTCACAGGGGTGGAATAATCATTACAGTATATTACGGTGGTATATTACAGTGGTATATTACGGTGGTATATTACGGTGGTATATTACATATAATATAATATATATAATATTATAATGTATAATAGAATATAATAGTATATATAAAATTATAATATATTATTTATTTTAAAATAAAATAAAAATAAAATTTAAAAATTAAAAATAAAACTTAAAAATAAAATTAAAGTACAATAAATTTTAAAAATAAAACAAAATGCTAAAAATATATAATATTGATTCCAGTTTTTCAGGGATAGAAAGCTAATCCTGATTTTTGGTAAAGCCCTGAACTGATCCAAAACTTGGCACCACCTTTCTGCCTTTACACAGGAGAAAGACCAGAAACAGCTCCCTTTGGGATTAAAAACTTAAAAAAGAAAAAATAATTTAAAAAATAAACTCAAATAAAATGTAATATAATATAATAAAATTTAACATAATGTAATAAAATATACTATATAGAATATGAGACATTATATATAATATATTTTCCCAGATTGCTAAGCAAGATGTATTCTATTTGCCATCTGTATGGCAGCTGTCTTCTGTTCAGTGGGCAGTTTTCTTATCTTTTCCACAATCACTCCTCCCTCAGAGGAGACATCTGCTGATAACAGCTATGGAATGCCCCTGCATGGCTGACAAGAACTACAGCATCCCATTGTGAGATGCTCCACCCAGAGGGAGGAGCCAAGCATTGCTACCCAGATATAATCCAGACACTTTTGAGACACCAGCACGGCTTTCTCCACTGGATTCCCCAGAGGAGCAGCAGCTGCCTCTCCTTCCACTGGATCTTCAGAGGAAGAATGCATCCTTCTCTACAGATCCCCCTTGCTCCAACAGAACCACCCCTGACACTGCAGGAGGGCTGAGCCACAATTCCAATGGGACTGCCACCAACACCCTGACCCACAGGGTGTCAGGTTGGGTCCTGACCCTGTCCGTGGCGTTTTAGTTTACTGCATTGTTGATTTTATTCTTTTTTTTTCTTCCCTATTAAAGAACTGTTATTTCCTGCTCCCATATTTTTTGCTTGAGAGCCCCTTAATTTGAAATTTATAACAATATAGAGGAATGCAACCACAACACGAGCCCGTGGACTTTAGCAGGGTCACATCACCACATTTTTCTCCCTTAAAAAGAGGAGTGAGCAATTCCCATTGAGCACATCCAGAGCTCGGATCACGGGATCTGCTTGGCAGCAGGATTTTCTGATTCCTGACTACCCAGCAGACTGAGCAGCACATCAGTTATGTAATCCCTGGTGCTGGGGAGCTGCTGAACTGGGGGCCAAGTCAAGCTGGACAGGCTCCATGCCCAGCAGAGCCAAGGATGGGCTCAGCATCAAACCCACACCATTTTTGGTCCAATCTGCCCTTTTGTACATAATCCAGTTCTTTTTTGGCATGAGGATAGGCATGATCTGAATGCCAAGAGCAGCCACAGCAGCCTGGAGGAGCAGGGAGGATTTGGGATACTCACTCATCGTGGTTCACTTGCCACTGGTTGATGAACACACAGGTGTCCTTGGGGATGTAGTAGCCATTCAATGCTGTTGCTTTTGTTGTGCTGAAGGGAAGAGAGGAGTTAGATGAGACCCATAGCTCCTGGCAAGCCAAAGCCCAGCGAGTCCTGAAGGGGTTTCATCTTCAAAGCCCTATTTGTGCCCTTTGGACTGGCTAGGAAATACCCCAGATTGTATTTGGGAGGTTTAAGAGTCTTGGCTTCACTTTCAACCACCAGAAAAATTCCAGTTTCACTTCACAGCTCATTCCAGATCAGTTGTGATGTGGTTCCTCCCAAGGCAGGAAAGAAAATACAAACCCAGGGGTGCCCTGCCAGCAAAGGTTTATGGGGTGAAACCACCCTCAAAACAAAGCATCCAACCCCAGAAGGGCAACAAGCTGGAATATTTCCCCCTCACAGCCATCAAAAACCCCAAAGAAGGTGTTGGCCGCCCCAGCCCGTACCTGTGAGGGATGGTGAAGGGCACAAAGGAGGAGTGCCTGAACATCTCCAGGATGAAGGCCTCCGTGTAGGGCAGCGTGCCCCGGTCCGAGAGGCGCGGCCGCCGCTCGCGCCCGATGGTGCGGTCTGGGGAGGGGGACAGGACAGGGTCAGCAGCAGGGCTGAGCACAGAGAGCCCAGAGGGATGTGGGGCAGGGACTCACCCAGCTCCTCATGGATCTTCTTCTGGACATCGGGGTACAAGGCAACGTACATGAGGCTCCAGGACAGGGCAGTTGTCACAGTGTCAAAGCCTGGGTGGGTGTGGAGTTGGCATTTAGAGACCACAAGAGGACAGGTGAGTGGGTGTTTCAGATTCCACTGCTCCAAATGTTTGCTCCTCCAAAAAGTGCTCAGGAGGGCACCCAGTAGCACCTCTACACACCCAAAGGTGCCCACGTGTCCACCCAGCAGCTCCATGTCCCCACCTAGCCTCATGTCCCAAAGACCCAGTGGTGGCCTCAGAAATGTTCCCACCTGCCCCAAAGAGGTCGTTGACGATGTGGATGATCTTCTCGTCGGAGAGCTGCACACGGGTGTCCTCCCCAGTGTTGTTCTCCTGGCAGTGCCCAATGAGCGAGTCCGTGATGTCCCGGATGTGCTCCTGGGGAAGAATCCACAGAATGTCCAGGTTGGAAGAGACCTTCGAGACCATCAATCCAACCAAGCCTCAACACCTCACCTAAATCCTGGCACCCAGTGCCACCTCCAGGCTTTGTTAAACACACCCAGGGATGGTGTGACTCCACCTCCTCCCTGGGCAGCCATTCCAGAACTTTATCACCCTTTCTGTAAAAAACTTTTTCCTGATATCCAACCTAAATTTCCCTTGGTGCAGCTTGAGACTGTGTGCTCTGGTTCTAAATGTGTAGTCGATTAGAAGTGTGTAATGTCACAGCGTGGAAAACTTAGAGTTTGGGGTTTTAGAATATAGCAATAAATATAGGGCAAGATGGACATTTTAGGATGGGGGCTGCTTGTTCTTCTTTACCTTCTTCTTCCTTCTTCTTCATGGGTTTGGGTGGTATTTTGTAATTGGTAACTTTGTAATTAGGTGTCATTTCTTAATTGGATAGTTTAGCCTTAAAAGACCTTGTAACAAGAGATAGTTAATAATTTTGTGCCTTGTTAATGAAAGACTGCAAAACTCACTGCTGTGAGACTGTAACACAGATAATAAATAATAAACATCTGAGCCTGAAGGTGAGCCATCATCTCAAGGGCCTTCAATCCCAACCTTGACAGAGGCAGAAAAAAGAAGCCAAAAACCAGCAGAAGGGGACACTTGCAGGCATCTGTACCCACATCCAAGAGCATGTGAGCCCTTACCTTGTCAAAGGTGCTGTAATGCTCCTGCACAATTTTCTGCACGAAGGTGTTGAAGCGCCGGTTGATGTCCTTGAAGGCCTCCAGGGTGCGGCTGGGCAGGTAGCGGAGCAGGGGGATGAAGTCGGCGGGGTGGCTGCCCCCAGCCACCTCCCCAAACTCATTGCCCAGGTTCACCACCCTGAGCAGCTCCTGGTCCTCGTGCTCGTAGCGCTTGCCGAAGCACATGGCGCAGATGACGTTGGCCACCGACACCACCAGGTACTGGTTGAGGTCAAAGCTCTTGTGCTCCTCCATGACCTGCAGGAACTTGGTGACCAGGTACTCGGCCTCCTGGGAGACGTGCTCCTCCAGCAGGCAGCTGCAGGACGAGGTGGGGCTGGACGCGATGGAGAAGCTCTTCAGGGCGCTCTGGGCCAGCCTCCTGCACGCTTTCCACACCTCCCCGGAGTCGGGGCTGAACGTCAGGCTCTGCCCGTTGGAGATGTAGTGAAAGCTAGGCAGGTCAGGTCTCCCCATGAAGTCCTCTCCTTGCTTGACCAGCGCTTGGCGGATGGTGTCCAGCCCGCTGAGCACCAGCACGGGCCGTGTCCCGATGCGCACCTCCATCACGTCCCCGTAGCGCCGGCTCAACCGCGTCAGCGCCAGGTGCGCGTCCGTGCGCAGCTCCAGCACGTTGCCCAGCACGGGAAAGCCCCGCGGGCCCGGCGGCCGCCGCAGCCCCGCGGGCACGGCCGCCCGCAGCCGCTGCACCAGCAGCAGCACCGCGCAAAACGCGGCGGCCGCCAGCAGCGCCTCGCTGGCCGACACCGCCACGGGGCTCCCCAGCGGCCACATGGCAGCAGAGCTCGGGGTCACCGCCGGCTCCGCACGGACAGCCCTAAGGGAGGGAGCGCAGTGAGGGAGAGCCGGAGCAGCGCGGGGCTGAGCGCTGGAGGGGGGGACAGGGACAGGGAGTGACAGCCCCATAGCACCCCAGGGGATGGAACTGCCCCTGCAGCACACGCTGGAGATCTGTGAATGGTCCAAACACACCCACCCCTCCCTTAACGGGGATCTCAACCCATCAGAGACTTTGCAGGACTCTTTTCCTGCACCAGACCCTTAGACTGGCACGCAGAACCCTCAGGAATAAACCAAAGGTGGGTGAGGAGCTGGGGCTGGTCTCTGGGCTGAGACACCTGCAGGTGTTCCTGACAGGGACAGGGAGCGACAGCCCCATAGCAGCTCAGGGGATGGAGCTGCTCCTGCAGCACTGCGGGTTTCCAGCAGCACACGCTGCAGATCTGTGAAGGCTCCAAACACACTCACCCATCCCTTAAGGAGGTCCTCAACCCATCAGAGACTTTGTGGCACCCCTTTCCTCACAGAAAACCCCAACCCCCACGGGCACAGCCATGGCTCCTGCCCAGGGAAGCCAGTCCTATAGAACAAGGCATGGAGAACTGCAGCTCAGCAAATCTCAGGGAAGCAGAGGAACAGCAGCTCCTCCGTGAATGTGGTTCCAGGACTACCAAACCCATCAGGAGTCACAGCCAGGAGGATGGACCTGCTGGTCACAGTATTGGGGACTTGGGGATGTTACAGAGCTGCTCTGCGAGAACACACAGCTCACTGGGTGAGCAGGGGCACCTAAATGTCACCTTCCTGGTCCTATATCCATGTTCGACCCTCCCAAAACACACAGCTGACCCCAACCCATCAGAGACTTTGTGACATCCCTTTCCCCGCAGCAGACCTTCAGGAAAGCAAAGATGGGTTAGGAGCTGGGGCTGGTCTCTGGGCTGAGACACTTGGAGCAGTGACAGCACAGGACAGGAGCAGAGCTGGGCTTCCCTTGTGATCCACAGTTGCCACACTTTAGGAAACTCCTCACAGTAAAAAGCAGGGGTTTTGCTAGCCAGGAGTGGGAGGAATAGGTCCCCCAACTTTTTATCTACGTGCCAGGGAAGCAAAGGTGCTCTCTTAACCACAGGATCTTTGTTCCATCCTCAAAGTTTTTTTCCAGAGCACTCGGCTAGAGGAGAGCTGATCCTGATCTGAGTCACCGAACCAGCACTCCCGAGCAGTGCCAGGGATCATCCCTGATCGATCCATGTGTGACAAATAACTCTGCCTGCAGCGGGGGCCAGCGGGGTGGGTGCATCCCGCTCCCGGCTCTGTCACAAACCATGGAATCACAGAGTCGCTGAAGTTCGAAGGGACTCCTAAGGATCACCGAGCCCAGCTCTCTGCTCCTCACGGGAAGAAATCCATCTGAAAGCCCGGAGCAGGGCTGGGAGGAGGTTGGCTGTTACATCCCCCCTTCCCTCGGGTTTGGCAGGGTTCCACAGGCACCCACGGGACACCTGCGGGGGGGAGCCCAGGGGGGCTCTGGGGACCGTGAACGGCAGCAGGTGCAGCCCAGCCGGGACCCCTTCCCAGCCCTCGGCAGCGCCACGACCCGCGAGGGGAGGTTACCCGCAGGACCCCCCAAAATCACCTTCCAGCAGGTGGGGGGAGGATGCTGCTGGGGTCGGAAAGGCAGGACGGCCCACGGCGGGGCTGTCCATCACTCAGGGGTGCTGGAAGAGCCCTCCCAGCCCCAGTCCATGGCGGTGCGGGCTCTCCGGTACTCACCTCGGTAGGAACGGTGCGGAGCGGAGGGAGGGACCCGGTCCCGCGGCAGGTGCCCGCTGCCCGCCGCTCCTGCTTTATATGCATCGCCCCGCGCGCTGATTGGCCAGGCCGCCTCCCGTCACGTGACCCCCAACTCCCCAAGAACTCCCCGGACCCCCCCATCCCCCCAATCCCCGGTTCCCCCCATCCCCCGGGGCTCCCCCCACGCGTGGGATGCAGGACCCCCGCTCCCTGCGCATCCCTTAGGGGGAGGCTGCGAGGCGGGCATGGGAGGGTCAGGGAAGGGAGGGGGGGTCCCGATAAGTCGTGGCGTGGGGTGCGGGGGTGCGGGGGTGTCGGTGCCGCCCGTGGGTTCCAGCCCGGGGCGGGCATCGCGTGCGAAGAGGGCGGGATGTTTGGGCAAACCCGCACCGCCCCGGTCACTCCAGTCACGCTACCGGCAGGATCTTAAAGGCGCCGGTCCCGCGCCCCACTGCTCCCCAGGAACCCCCCGGGGGCAGGCCCGGCTGCCCCGCTCGCCCCCAGACCCAGAGGGTTCCGTCCAGCCCCGGTGCCCGCAGCCGCGGCACATTCCCGGAGCCGCGGGCACAGCGGCGGCGTGGGAAACCCGCCCCGGGCGGCGCCGTGCGGGCCGGGAGGGGGGGACTGGCGGGTTCGGCTCCGCGAACACGCGGGGATGAGCGCGGACCGCTCGCTGCGGGGTTCAGCTATCGCGCACCCCCGTCCCGCCGCCGCTGTGCCCGGTGCAGCAGAGCGGGGCCACCGGCTCCGTGCGTGTCCCCGCACCTCGGGCTGCGGGACCGCCACACAGCTCCGCAGGGACCCCGCGGGGACGTGGGCGGCGGGGCAGCCCCGGGGGTCACGGCCCTGGCTGCCCCGGCCCGGTTAAAGATTGTCCAGGTTCGCGTGAGAAGCGGCCGTGCCCTGTGTCACCTCTGTCCCCTGGGACAGGGCCACCCGAGGGGCGAGGTGGGGCTGGCATGGGGCACAGGGTGCAGCCGGAGCGAGGCCGGCACGGATGGTGCAGCCGGGGTGGATGCTGGGGGTCCAAAGGGGGGCTAGGGCAGAGTTTGGAGCCCCCAGCCCCTCTCCCCGCGGGGTGACAGGCCAGGTCCTGCCCTGCAGCGAGGACAAGGGGCACCAGCCCGCTCCCAAAATCTGTCCCCTCCGCCCTCATCCTTGTTCCCAGCCCAGCCGCCACGAGGTGGGAGATAGGCCGGATAGGGGGGATAGGGGGTCCCGCACCGCCGGGGGGTCCCAGGGGTGGCATTAGGGACATCGCGTGCGAAGGGGCTCCGGCCAGACCCGGGAGGGCCGTCCTGGTCACTCGCAGTCACGCTACGGGTGGGTGGGGGGGGAAATGGTTTTTAAAGGACCAGGGCGGTGGCCTCCCGTCCAGGAGCCCGGCCCGGGGTCAGGGCGGCGCCGGAGCGGCTCAGCATCAGCTCCCCCCACGGCTGGCTGCGGGCTGGGGAGCTTGGGGAGAGTCCCCAACACTGGGGACAATCGTCGGTGTCAACAGCGGTGCCCTCTGCCGCAGGAGGCTGCATCACCTGCGAGGGGACGGCACTGCCCCTGTCACTTGTGTCCCCTCGAGAGGACATGGCCGTCCCAGCCCTTTCCAGCCACGAGGAGAAGGAGACAGGGGAGTGCCACCTGAAATGTCCCCTCTTAGAGACAGGCGACACGGAGTGGTGCGGGGCTGCTCGCCACAAATGTCACAAAGGTGCCCCACGGCGGGGGACACTCGCCAGGGCGTCCATAAAGCCCGGCCGGGGATGGCCCTGGCACCTCGTACGACACCGGGCACAACGCTCTGTGTGTCTGTCCCAGTGTCCCCGCGTCCCCTCCCGCCGTGTCCCCGCACGGAGCCGCATCCGTGTGCTGGACAGGCTCGGGGCTGCCAACCCCTCCGTGTCCCTCGGGCGTGGGCACGGGCTGGTGCCACGCACGCCGTGCCACGCGTGCCTGCGGGCACCGTCACCGTGCCGCTGCCGCCTGTCCCCGCACGCACAGCCCGGCGCCGCGGGGTGGTGACACACGGAGGGGACAGCGACACCCAGCAGGGACAGGGGGCTGGCAGCGTCCCCGGGGATCCGCGGGCTCAGCGAGGCGCGGCGGCCGCGGCTGAGGGTGTTTCTGGGGTGTTTTTGGGGTGTTTTCGGGGTGTGAGGCTGCCTGGCAGCAACTCTTATCGCTGCTCTCATCAGGCGGCACCCTGCCCTCGCACGGCTTGGCAGCCACGGGGAGGGCTGGGACAGGCTGGCAGAGGGTCCTGGGGAACCTCTCCGGGACTCTCCCCAGCTTTTCCAGAGCTTTGGGATGCGATGGGTGAGGAGTGAGCGGGTTCAGCATCAGCACAAGGTCTGAAATGCTGCTGGGGAGGGCAGGGGGTCACTCAGCCCCCCCAACCCCACCCCATGCAATGGGTCCGGGTGGATCCATAGGGATGGAGGATCCAGCCTGCGGGACGAGCCCTGCTCCTGCAGCCTCCCTCCCCAACAGCTCTCCCAAGAGCCCTGCCGGGGCCAGGAGGGCTACGGCATTCCCGGGAATTATCAGCAGGAATATTAGCAGCCGGGGTTTTGTAATTGTTCTTGCCAAACATTAATGAACGGCCTCATTGCTATTAACGAGCCTGATTAGACCAGATGTTGAAAGCCTTTATTAAATATTAGCTCAGCTTTTACCTGGGCCAAATTCCCCTTGGAATTTTCGAAGATTGAAGGAAACTTCGTGCCAAACTCCCGAGCTCTGGCTCATTCCTGCTCATCCCAGCTGCATTTCCCAAACTCCCCTGAATTTTGCCCCGCCTGGAGCAGCAGCCCCGCTGGCACGAGCATTTCCCTGCTGGGTGTCACCCAATGTTTATGGGATGAGCTGCCCCAGCCTTGCCCCGTTCTGCCCCTTCACCTCTCCTATCTGCCGGGCTCACCTCCTCCCCTCTGCCCCGCCACTCCTCCTCCTCCTCCTCCTCCTCGCTGCCTGTTTGCCCCGAGGAGCCGGGGGAAGCGAGCCAGCCGCCTTCTCACGCAAACCTGGCCAATCGTTAACCTGAGCCTGGCTCTGCCCCTGGCTCGGAGGATCCTGCTGCCACCACCGCTGCCGGGGCAGGGGACCTGCTGGATCGTTCCCCAGGGATGGATGGGGAATGTCACAAACGTGTCCCCTCACTCACAGCCTGCAGCTCCCAGAGTGGCCATGGAGGTGACAGCCCTCTCTGGCTGCTGGGGGCAGCCTGGCCAGCCCGGAAAAGCTTTTTTGGGGAAATGCTGGCACCCACATTCCACAGGCAAGCAATGCTGACAACATGTTCTACATCCTCCTCAAGGCAGGGCTTAGGGACCCCCTTGTGCCTCCCCACAGCAGGCTCCAGGGCCCAGCCCAGGAGGAGAAGTCACCCCTCACGCCCTAGAGCTTGCTGGAGGGGAGAAAGGCTTTTCCCTGGCTTCTTGGGCAGGCTCCAGGCAGGGTCAGGCCCGTTTGTTAATGGGTAGCTACTGCCAAGGGCTTTAGCCACGGGAGGAGGGAGATAAATACCCAGTGGTGCAGTGAGTGCAGAGATCAGACAGCTGTGGACTCCCTGGTGGCACGAGGAGAAGGACCAGGCAGAGGAGAACGAGGGGACAGGAGAAGAAGGTTGAGGAGACAGAGGAGGATTCTCCCCTGCTCCTGGTGCCAATCCCTGCTGGGAGCCTTGGGCAGTAAAACCAACCAGGTAGGAGACAGCTTCTGTGTTTTGGGAGGGGTTGAACGTGGATATAGGACCAGGAAGGTGACATTTAGGTGCCCCTGCTCACCCAGTGAGCTGTGTGTTCTCGCAGAGCAGCTCTGTAACATCCCCAAGTCCCCAATACTGTGGCCAGCAGGTCCATCCTCCTGACTGTGACTCCTGATGGGTTTGGTAGTCCTGGAACCACATTCACAGAGGAGCTGCTGTTCCTCTGCTCCTGCTTCCCTGAGATTTGCTGAGCTGCAGTTCTCCATGCCTTGTTCTACAGGACTGGCTTCCCTGGGCAGGAGCCATGGCTGTGCCCGTGGGGGTTGGGGTTTTCTGTGAGGAAAGGGGTGCCACAAAGTCTCTGATGGGTTGAGGACCTCCTTAAGGGATGGGTGAGTGTGTTTGGAGCCTTCACAGATCTGCAGCGTGTGCTGCTGGAAACCCGCAGTGCTGCAGGAGCAGCTCCATCCCCTGAGCTGCTATGGGGCTGTCGCTCCCTGTCCCTGTCAGGAACACCTGCAGGTGTCTCAGCCCAGAGACCAGCCCCAGCTCCTCACCCACCTTTGGTTTATTCCTGAGAGTTCTGCGTGCCAGTCTGCAGGGAAAGGGGTGCTGCAAAGTCTCTGACGGGTTGAGGAGCTGCTTAAGGGATGAGTGGGTGCCTTTCACAGGTCTCCAGTGTGTGCCGCTGGTGCTGCAGGGGCAGCTCCATCCCCTGAGCTGCTATGGGGCTGTAGCTCCCTGTCCCTGTCAGGAACACCTGCAGCGCTCAGCCCAGAGACCAGCCCCAGCTCCTAACCCACCTTTGGTTTATTCCTGAGGGTTCTGCGTGCCAGTCTAAGGGTCTGGTGCAGGAAAAGAGTCCTGCAAAGTCTCTGATGGGTTGAGGTCCCCGTTAAGGGATGGTTGGGGGCGTTTGGACCATTCACAGATCTCCAGCGTGTGCTGCAGGGGCAGTTCCATCCCCTGGGGTGCTATGGGGCTGTCACTCCCTGTCCCTGTCCCCCCCTCCAGCGCTCAGCCCCGCGCTGCTCCGGCTCTCCCTCACTGCGCTCCCTCCCTTAGGGCTGTCCGTGCGGAGCCGGCGGTGACCCCGAGCTCTGCTGCCATGTGGCCGCTGGGGAGCCCCGTGGCGGTGTCGGCCAGCGAGGCGCTGCTGGCGGCCGCCGCGTTTTGCGCGGTGCTGCTGCTGGTGCAGCGGCTGCGGGCGGCCGTGCCCGCGGGGCTGCGGCGGCCGCCGGGCCCGCGGGGCTTTCCCGTGCTGGGCAACGTGCTGGAGCTGCGCACGGACGCGCACCTGGCGCTGACGCGGCTGAGCCGGCGCTACGGGGACGTGATGGAGGTGCACATCGGGACACGGCCCGTGCTGGTGCTCAGCGGGCTGGACACCATCCGCCAAGCGCTGGTCAAGCAAGGAGAGGACTTCATGGGGAGACCTGACCTCTACAGTTTTCGCTTCGTGGCGGACGGGCAGAGCCTGACGTTCAGCCCCGACTCCGGGGAGGTGTGGAAAGCGCGCAGGAGGCTGGCCCAGAGCGCCCTGAAGAGCTTCTCCATCGCGCCCAGCCCCACCTCGTCCTGCAGCTGCCTGCTGGAGGAGCACGTCTCCCAGGAGGCCGAGTACCTGGTCACCAAGTTCCTGCAGGTCATGGAGGAGCACAAGAGGTTTGAACCCTACCGGTACCTGGCGGTGTCGGTGGCCAACGTCATCTGCGCCATGTGCTTCGGCAAGCGCTACGAGCACGAGGACCAGGAGCTGCTCAGGGTGGTGAATTCCACGGAGGAGTTCACTGCTGTCACTGCTGCTGGCAACCCCGCCGACTTCATCCCCCTGCTCCGCTACCTGCCCAGCCGCAGCATGAAGCTCTTCATCGACTTCAACAGGTACTTCCTCAGCTTCCTGCAGAAGAGGGTCAAGGAGCACTACGAGAGCTACAATGAGGTGAGAGCTGGCAGAACCTGCCCCTGTTCTCCTCCCCTCTCAATCAATGAGGTGTTTGTGTTTTGGCAGCCACTGTCTCTCCCCAGTCCTCCTCCTCCTCACAGAATCATAGAGAATTGTAGAATCATGGAATATCGTGAGTTGGCTCACACATGGATCATCCAATCCAGCTCCTGGCCCTGCACACACACCCCAACATCCCTGAGAGTGTTGTCCAAACTCTCCTGGAGCTCTGGCGGCCTTGGGGCTCTGCCCATTCCCTGGGGAGCCTGGTGGGTTGGTGGGATAAATAGAAACTGTTGGGACTTCTGTTTTATCCGCTTTATTTTGTAGCAATCATTGCCTGTTTTGCTTCCTGGTATCCTTGTACCTTTTCCTGATGTCCCACCCAAACCTTCCCAGACTCAGCTTCACGAACCTCTCAGTGTCTCCTCCATTCCCTGTGTGATGTGGCCAGTCTGGTGGTTAAACCTCGGGTTCCTCGGAGAACCCTCTCCTTGTTTCCACAGGGACCACAGGAGCTGAGGGATGGTGCTCCCCAGAGCTCGTGTGGCCCCAGGCTCCCCCAGCTCTCTGTGGGGCCGCCCAGGAGCACCCAGCCCTCTGCAGCCCTGCTCCATGACCTTGCCTCCTCTTCCTCTCAGAACAACATCCGGGACATCACGGACTCCCTCATTGAGCAGTGCCTGGACAAAAAACTGGGAACCAACACGGCCACGCAGATCCCCAAGGAGAAGATCGTCAACCTCGTGAACGACCTCTTTGGAGCAGGTATCCTCCCACCTTTCCTCAGCTCTAGCAGATGCTCTCAGGTCTTCTCCAGCTCCTCCTGCCTGACCATTCCTTGTCCAACAGCAGGCAGCTGGTCTGGGTCTAAGCACTCGCCCTTCTGCTCTGGAAAAGTGAAGTGCATGGGTTATATAGTTCGACTGAACCTCACCATCTAGAGTGGTTTTTCCTGGCTAAGGGACATGTCTGTGGGCTGATTCACCTTTCTGTGGAAATTCCCCCAGTTCTGGAGAAGCTGTACAAACCTGACACAACCCAGGAGCGGGACAGGCTGAGAGAACAGGATATTTTAGCAAAGGTTGTTATGGCAGAATAAAGCCCCAAGCCCTGCTGCGTGTCCAGGATGTCCCCTGCCTCCTCAGCCAGCCCAGACTGCCCTGTGTGGTGGTCAGCCCTCATGCCAGGGTGGGTGCTTCTTGGGTTATGTGTTGCTGGAATGGCTCCTGAAGTATTAAAAGTCTTTTTACCCAGCCCCAAGCTATCGGAGAAGTCAGGATTCCTCAGCTCTGCTTTTCAAGGTTGTTTATTTTCTCTTATCTAATACATTCTTTTTTGGACCTGCTGAGATCTGTCCAGCAGGTTGTGTTGTGGCATAGTGACAGCCCTTGGGGTGGTGTCACCTTTTTATACTAGGAACTACCTGTACTTTATTTACAATAATTTTCCAATACCTATCACCTATGTTAGACAGTTTGTCTCTGTCCTAAACCAATCCAAAAGTGTCACCATCATAGCAGAGGATGGAGGACAAGAAGAAGAAGAAGAAGAAGGACAGGACATGCCCATATTGCTCCATCTTGCTTCTTGACCCCCCATTCTAAAACCCCAAAATTCTACTTTTTGACCTGGTGACAAATTCACTATCATTCTACTCAAACTCTTGTGGCTTGCAAATCTTCCCACAAAGTTGGTGATTGTTTCCATGGGCTAAAATCCAAGGCACAGGTGGTTTTGACTCTGTGCCAAGGTCTCTGAGCCCCTGCCAGGGTCTCGAGCCATTCAGGGCAGCCAGAGGAATGTCCTGGGTTCTGACAGGAGCTGTGCTGAGCTCACCCACACCCCGTCTTCTCTGGCCAGGCTTCGACACCGTAACCACAGCCCTGTCCTGGAGCCTCATGTACCTTGTGACGAACCCCAACATCCAGAAGAAGATCCATGAGGAGCTGGGTGAGTCCCTGCCCCACATCCCTCTGGGCTCTCTGTGCTCAGCCCTGCTGCTGACCCTGTCCTGTCCCCCTCCCCAGACCGCACCATCGGGCGTGAGCGGCGGCCGCGCCTCTCGGACCGGGGCACGCTGCCCTACACGGAGGCCTTCATCCTGGAGATGTTCAGGCATTCCTCCTTCCTGCCCTTCACCATCCCTCACAGGTACGGGCTGGGGCGGCCAACACCTTCTTTGAGGTTTTTGATGGCTGTGAGGGGGAAATATTCCAGCTTGTTGCCCTTCTGGGGTTGGATGCTTTGTTTTGCGGGTGGTTTCACCCCATAAACCTTTGCTGGCAGGGCACCCCTGAGTTTGTATTTTCTTTCCTGCCTTGGGAGGAACCACATCACAACTGATCTGGAATGAGCTGTGAAGTAAAGCTGGAATTTTTCTGGTGGAGGAAAGTGAAGCCAAGACTCTTAAACCTCCCGAATACAATCTGGGGTGTTTCCTAGCCAGTCCAAAGGGCACAAATAGGGCTTTGAAGATGAAACCCCTTCAGGACTCGCTGGGCTTTGGCTTGTCAGGAGCTGTGGGTCTCCTCTAACTTCTCTTTCCCCTCACGTTCCCTTCAGCACAACAAAAGTGACGGTGCTGAATGGTGGTGGGCTGGCACAGCTGCTCCAGGGACAAGGTGGCCTTGAGGCACCATGTTACATCTCGTGGAGGACACAGCTGTCCTCACAAAACCACCCCTTTGGGTCACACCCTTCAGGAGCAGCCTGCCAGTCCCCTGAGGACGCAGAAGAACCTGCTCTCCATCTTTTCTCTCCCCAGCACCACCAAGGACACGGTGTTGAACGGCTACTTCATCCCGAAGGATCGCTGCGTGTTCGTCAACCAGTGGCAGGTGAACCACGACGAGTGAGTACCGTGAGGCACAAACCCTCCTGTGCTGGCAAACAGGTCCTTTCCTGTGCTGGAAAACAGATCCCCTCCTGCAGTGACAAACAGGACCCCTCCCGTGGTGGCAAACCATCAGGGATTTTCTTCCCAACAGTTCCCACCTCTCTTGGTTTGGAAAGACAGGAGTCGGCTAAGGAAGGCAGGAGCCTCCCCTGAAATGGAGAATGTAAACCCTCCCCACCCCTCCCAATTGCTATAAATTTTGAATTAAGGGGCTCTCAGGCAAAAATATGGGAGCTGGAAATAACAGTCCTTTAATAGGGAAAGAAAAACAAATAAAAGGATAAAATAAACAATCAGTGCACTAGAACAACACTGACAGAGTCAGAACCCAACCTGACACCCTGTGGGTCAGGCTGTTGGTGGCAGTCCCATTGGAATTGTGGCTCAGCCCTCCTGCAGTGTCAGGGGTGGTTCTGTTGGAGCAAGGGGGTCCTGTAGAGAAGGATGTATTCTTCCTCTGAAGATCCAGTGGAAGGAGAGGCAGCTGCTGTTCCTCTGGGGAATCCAGTGGAGAAAGCCATGCGGGTGTCTCAGAACCTCTGGATTATATCTGGGCAGCAATGCTTGGCTCCTCCCTCTGGGTGGAGCATCTCACAATGGGATGCTATAGTTCTTATCAGCCATGCAGTGACATTCAATAGTCTGTTATCAGTAGATATCCCCTCCCGAGGGGGATGTAATTGTGGTCACTCAAAGAGAAAGACACGGCAAACTGTCCACTTGACAAAGATAATCTGCCATGCAGATGGTAATGGAAAACACCTTGCATTGCAATCTGGAGCACCACCTTCCAGTGTCCCCTCAACACCCACGCCCAGGAGAAACCATCTCAATACCCGATATTCTCCCTTCCAGGAACCTTTGGAAGGATCCAGAAACCTTCAACCCCGAGCGTTTCCTCAGCGCTGACGGGACCAAGGTGAACAAAGAGGACGGGGAGAAGGTGCTGGTGTTTGGCCTGGGGAAGAGGAGGTGCATCGGGGAGAACATTGCCCGCTGGCAGGTGTTCCTCTTCCTGGCCACGCTGCTGCAGCAGCTGGAGTTCAGCGTCTGCGAGGGCGGCAGCGTGGACATGACCCCGCTCTACGGACTGTCCCTGAAGCACAAGAGGTGTGAGCACTTCCAGGTCAGGCAGCGCTTCCCCACCAAGGGCAGGAGCTGAGCAGCGGGAGCAGACATCTCCAGGGTGTCCTGTCAGCAGAGCTGAGTCTGGAACAACTTTGTGGGGTTATGGGATAAACTGAAACCATCAGGACTTCTGCTTTATCTGCTTTGTTTTGTAGCAATTGTTGCCTGTTTTATTTCCTGGTGTTTCTAGTGTTGGATATTCCATTAAATGTTGGCTATTCCACCAAACCCAGTCTTGGAACTTTTCCTCTGGCAGTCGCTCTCTGATGGATGCAGGACAGCCAGCCCATGCCATAACCCCACAGCCCCCATCAGAATTACAGAATTATGGAATTGTTTAGGTTGGAAAAGGCTTTATCACCATCAAGCCCAGCAGTGCCAAGGCCACCACTAACCCATGTCCCCACGTGCCACATGTTTTGACACCCCCAGGGATGGTGAGTCCACCACTGACCACCGTCATGGTCAAGAAATTTTCCCAATATCTAAACCTCCCCTGGGGCAACTTGAGCCTTCATCCACCTCCTCCACCATGGTCGGTTGTGGCCCTGGAGGACACAAGGAAGGGCACAAGGGAGGACACAAAGAAGGATACAAGGGAGGACGCAAGGATGGACACAAAGAAGGACACGAGGGAATAGACAAGGGAAGACACAGTGAAGGACATAAGAAAGGGCACAAGGAAGGACACAAGGTAGGACACAAAGAAGAACACAAGGGAGGACACAAGGAAGGGCACAAGGGAGGACACAAAGAAGGATACAAGGGAGGACACAAGGAAGGACACCTTCAGCCCTGGCTGCTGGGAAAGCCAAACTGCTGCCTTTCCAGGCTGGAACAAAGGTGTTTTCACGGCAGGAAAATAATGACACCCAGGAATTGCTCCAGCTCAAACCCAAGAGTTTACATTGGCTGCCAGTCAGCCCATGCCAGCAGAGCCAGATGCCTCCTTTTCCCCAGCTTTGCACGCAAAGCCGCCACAGCCAGCCCCGGCACCTGGCAGCGGGGATGACACGGGGACAGGCACCACCGCGGGGCAGCACGCTCTGTCCTGCACCCATGCCAGGGGAGGGTTCTGCCCCCACGGCCCCAGACCCCGAGCAGTGGGGCTGCAGCCAGAGCTCCTGCCATGTCCAAATGCCAATCACTCATCAGGCATTGCACAAAAGCTTCCCAGAAGAGGCAGAGATGAAAGCGCGGTGGGGAAGAGAATGGGGAAGCTGATTGCCCAAGACTTCGGGGAGATCCTGGCTTGTCCAGACCTGCCAAAGCAGCCTGGGGGAAAAGCAGTGACTCTGTGTGTCCAGGCCCTGCTTGGTCACCAGTTTGTGGTGGAACACTGAGGTGACACAGCCTCAGAGCCACCCGAATTCTTTGAGCCAGCACAAGCAGCTGTTGGCATCACACCAGCTTTGTCTTCCCCACTTGATGTCATGATCCCAATGTTGTAGGAAAAACACTGGAGAGGAAGGTCCAAACCTGCTGTGGGCTACCAAAGGAATTGGAAAAAACATGGAAGGACAACCCATGAGGTTCACCAGCCAAATAACAGCTCCACCAACTATGACAAGGACCAAACCCACTTCCCACAGGGGACATCCCACAGATCAATGCACCAGAGTCCCAAACCCACTTCCCACAGGGGACATCCCACAGGTCAATGCACCAAAATCCCAAACCCACTTCCCATGAGGAGCATCCCAAAGCCAACATTCCCCTGCTACAGGAGAAGGTGTTATCAGCCACTGGAGGTGCACCTCAGTGCCTAACCTGGTGACTCAGAAGAGCAGTGAGATTGCTGGGGACTCATCAGTGCCATGCTGTCCCCACGGGGTGGACTTGGCCCCGGGTGGACACGCAATGCTGGCCCTGCTGTGGGACCACAGGTCTTGTTTGCTGCAGCCCTTGCGTGACTCCTGTGCCCCAAAGGCTGGCTGGGTGTGCTGATAAGGCTGCAATAAGCAGGAGCAGATAGAAAGAACAGAGGGAGATTTTTTTCCCCCTTTGCAGATGAGAGTTTTATGGCCCCAGGGCAGATAAGCAGCTTAATATTAACAACAGTGGTGTGGAACAGCCTCTTGATGGTGGGAGGGCTCCCCAAGATCCATTCCTGGAGGGCTGATCTGTGTCAGGATGGAGCAGGGGGAGGGAAGAGGCTTGAGGGGAGAGGAATGGGCAGGCAAATTATCCTTCCCTTCCCTTCATGGGGCATGAGGCAAAGCAGCCACCTTATAACTCCCTACCTACATTTAGCACCTCTCCCTCTCTTGCTGCTGATGGAACCATCCCACAGAGCTGTGGAAGACCTTTCCAGGCATTGTGCAAAGGCAGGAGGGACCCCTGAGACCTTGGTCTGAACCCCGTGCATGTTCACCACTCCTTGGCCATCCCTTCCAACAGGCCAGACCCCAGCAGAGGCCACAGCTTTCCTGCTGGGCTCCATAAAATCGAAGCATGGAATCTCCTCAGCTGGAAGGGACCCCAAGGATCATCAGTCCAGACACCCCAACAATCCCACCCTGTGCCTCAGAGCACTGTCCAAACGCTCCTGGAGCTCCTGGGGCTGTGCCCATTCAGTGCCCCACCACCCCGTGGGTGAGGAGCCTTTCCTGGTATCCAGCCTGAACCTCCCCTTTTCACCATGGCTGCTGTGGAAGCCTCAGCAGCTCACAGGAGGTGAGAGGCTCCAGTTGCCCTATCTTTGCCTGCCCCTAATGACCTTCCTCAATTAAGCCTTCCAATTACTGCCCGGGCAGTCTGTGAGCGCCACGGTTTCGTTACTGGAATCGGGGTGGTGATAAGCCAGGGAAGCTTTGATCACTCCATGCAAAATTGCTTTTATGGTTGGTTTTTAAGTGAGTCATGAGTCCAGCCACAGCAGCAGGGCTCCAGCTCCACTTCCAAATGCTACCAGCACCCTCATTCCTGCAGGAAAAGCTCTGGGCAGACACAGGCTTCTCCCTCTGCCTGATGCCAGCACTCGGGCTGGTGGCACCTCCTCTCTGGGGAAATCAGTCCCCAGCCCCAAAATGGGCCAGAACAACCACTTGTGACTCTCCTGGGTGGAAGACAGGAGTTGCTCTAACACCCAACAGCCCTCCCAATTAAAAGTGAACCCTGCATCTCTAATTTCTTTCCTTTGGCTGTTTGAGATCTGTTATCAGGAGCCATGTCCCCATAGGGATTAGTAATTCTGTGTCTCGCTTTTGCTGTTTGTCCCCTGCACTAGTGACAGAGGAAAACCCCCCAACACCATGCACAGAACTTCACACTGGTTTCTGCCTTTTGGGAGGAATGAAAATCTCTGCTCAGCCTCCCTGAGCAGCTTCTGGGGTGCAGGAGCTGGTGGGTGAGGGAGCTGCTGGTTCTCCAATCCGTCCAGGCTGGACCTGTGGGTGCAGCAGAGCTGGATCCAAAGGAGCCGGGCACTTTAAACCCAGCACGTGGCTCTGCTGCAGCAGTGCTTCCAAATCAGCCTGAACCCTTTTCCCTGCTGCCCTCCCTCCTCCCGGGGGAAGGAGGCAGAGTTTGGGCTGATCGATTGCCCTGTGCCACTCTCAAGGGTGATTCACAAGGCACCTGTGAATCAGAGGGCAAGCATGGAGTTTGTCCCCAGGCTAGAAGGGAACAGCAGAGATGCAGAGATAGCTCCTCCCTGCACGCAAAGCCCTGCTCAGGAAAAGCTCTGGGATCCCAGGAATTCCCTCAAACCTCTACACCCCCCCCGGCAGGATTTTCCATGGGCTGAGAGATGGGAGCGCCAGGGGCCACCAGGTCCCACAAGCAGTGTGAGCCAAAAGCCGCTGGGATGGTGGATGCTCCCCAAACTCTGCAGAATGTGGAGAGCTGGGATGCACTCGGGGCTGGCTGTCCCCTGGGTGTCCCTAAAGCTGGCCCTGGTGGCAGCGTAGCAGTGGGAGGTGGGGTCACATAGAGGGACAGATGTCCCAGATAGCTTTTATGAAAAATGCTTTCCTTAGGATTTTTCCTCCTGAGAAGCTGAGAGGCCTCAGGAACAAAATGTAAACATTGATTATCTGCTGCTGTGGAGTGCAACAGGTGCATCTGTGATTGGTCTCACAGAGTTGTTTGTAATTAATGGTCAATCAGAGACAGCTGGCTTGGACAGAAAGTCCGAGACAGAAGCTTTTGTTATCATTCTTTCCTATTCTATTCTTAGCTAGCCTTCTGATGAAACCTTTTCTTCTATTCTTTTAGTACGGTTTTAATATAATATATATCATAATATAATAAATCAAGCCTTCTGAAACATGGAGTCAGATCCTCCTCTCTTCCCTCATCCAAGAACCCCTGTGAACACGGTCACAGGACAGGCCCTCATGTCCCCCCCAGAACGAGAGGTCCCAGTTGTCTGCCCCACTCTCACCCCTAAAATCATCTCCCGAACCCCAGCAGGGTGGGTAGAGCAGCGCTGGTGCTGTCAGGGTGGGGGACACAGGCAGAGGGGGACACACAGATGGTGGGATCCCCTGTTGAGAGCCAGCATCCCCACCTTGCTCTCCAATTTAAAACATCCCGGAACGAGAGGAACGAGGGAGAGCCCTGAAATGAGGCTGTCCCCCACACCCAGGGGGGTTGGGGGTTGGCATGGGGGAAGAGGCACCCCGAGAGGCAGGGCTGGGATGGAGAGAGCAGGATCCCAACTCACTGAAGCTGTCCCCGGACGCCCTCCGGTGGCGCCTGTGACACAGCTCCGCCAGCGGCACCGAGGAGCGCCGGGCTGTACCGCTCACGGGGCACTTTTTGCCTGGAGGAACATTTGGGGAGGGACATCTGTCGGAAATGGACCCTCCCTGCAGAGCATCCCGGAGCGCTGGGAGCCGCAGAACCGGCCAAACCAAACCCGGCTCCCTCCGGGGCTTTTGGGGCTGGAAGGTGAATTCTGCAGGCTGGAAGGTGAATTCTGCAGGCTGCAATGAGCCGGGAGCTGTCGCGCTGGCTTTACTCGGCTGCTCGCAGGCACCGCCTGCGCTGTCTCGTACATCCCGGCAGGATCGCTTCCCTTTCCCTGCC